TTAGACACAATGTTATAAATGCATATGTGTGTATGTGTCAGTTTATTTATTTATAGTATCATTTAAGTGTAGTGTATATTAAGATACAACCGATAGAGTAGGTAATTGATTTGACGCTATATTGTTTCAACCNCGATAGAGTAGGTAATTGATTTGACGCTATATTATTTAAACCCAACTAAACGCTAAATTGTACATTCCGAAACAACAATCATATTATGTCAATTGCCACCGGAATTTCTGGTAATATTTTTCTTTTTCTTTGCCTTAATCCCAACTACTTGGGGTCGGCCACCCTTATCCTAAGATTCCACTTGACACGATCTCCCACATCTTCATATTTCCCCCATTTGCGGGGAACGAGGGAATTTTTTTCAATTTTTAAGGGTAATGTCTTCAACTAGATACCAGTTGTGATCTTTTGACGTATTTTTGAAAGAAATCGGTCCTATGAGAGCTGAGAAAAAGTGGCAACAGACATAAAAAAAAAAAATAAAACACATCATAGTAAAATTAATATCTTCTCCGCTTCGCATCGAAGCTAATATTTTACAATTGTATCGCAATTTATTATTAATGTATAACTTATTTTAGGTACTTACCAAGTTTTAACATCTTTAATAACTTTTTATTCAGCAAATATTTTGCATTACTTTTTTTTAATTAATTATTTTAGTTTGGGACTACCTTAAATAAATATATAATAATAATATAAAATAAAATAATAAGAAGAAAAAAATAAAATAAAAATGTTTTTAATTTTATCAAAACTTTAAAATAGCTGAATTTGATGGACAATAAAAACTTTAGGATAAGTATTTATTGTGTTATAGGCATTTCAATACATAGAGTAGTTATATAGCGTGAGTGGAGTATAAATTATAAATATACTCACCTGCGCTAATGTAGACTAATGTGCAAAAATTATTTAAAAAATATTTGCTAGTTCAAAAATTATTACAAATATCAAAACCTGGTGCTACTTCTTGTATAAAAAACACAAATAGGTTAAATTAATTATATATTTAGCATTGTTAAACCAACAAAATCACAGAAAATAATAAAAAAAACTAATCATGACAAGTATTAATGAAAAAATTTAGTAATTAATTAATTATGATTTTTACTGAAATTTTTAAGTTAAAATATAATTCAATAAAATGTCAGAAAACCCGTATTTATTCTATTCAACATTTATTAATAATAGATAAATATTTTTGATATTTCGCTGAAGAAGGGAATAAGAAATCTTCCAACTCTGTGAGTTGTAAGTGGTGACTAATTATGTGGCGTCAGGTCGACAGCCTGTGTAAAATTTCGTCAAAATTTATGAGGAATTCTGAACAGAACACAGACGGAATGTCCCATCCCTGAAGTTTTGAAGAGGAGAAAAGTTAATATTTGTTGTGTGTAGGAAACATAGTCGAAAAATTAATTTTCAAGGGAAAAGAGTTGAATGTAGTAAGTACTTATGCACCACAACTAGAGTGTGATGAAAAATATGAATGAGTTTTGGAAAGAGATTGATGAGGTGATGCAAGGAATGCCTGGTATTAAGGATGCGGTTACAACTTTTAATTATTTTCTATTTTTAGTACTGTTGGAAGTTCTTCATCTATTGCCAATTCCAATTCTAGATTCAAAAAAAAATAATTATAAGTTATTAAATTAATATTTATTTATTATAAATACCTAGCTCAATTGGGTCATCTAATGAAGCTACAAACGTTTCTTCAGTAATTGGATCAAATTTAAATCCCAGTTGGAAATACTTTTCTATAATTACTGTTTTGATATAATCTTTCATTTTTTTCTTCAAGACTGTGATAAATACTAATGTTATGCCCTGGTCCATAATAGCTTTATGTTCCTGACTCCACTCATTCCATAAATAATTCGTATCATACGGTACAAATTCACAATAACATCGAGTTTCATAGTTGACAAATTTTATCATGTTTTGAAAAAAATCATCTACAGTATTTAATGTCCAAATGTATGTAGAAATATCATCACGTGATAGAGGTTTTTCGTTCAAAATGTTATGAATATTTTCTATACTTCCTAACAAAGGACTTATCATGTAGATATTTTTCAAACATGTTACCCATGGGAAGTTATGTAATAAATCCAAAGAATCCATGGCTCCTTTCATCAATGTGGTCAGTGGAACAATAAATGAGGTTATTATGTATATGACTTCTTCGGTGCTAATGTATCCATTTATTAAATCTTCCTTTTCTATAATTTTTTGTTGACAATATTTTATCACATTCCTTATAACTGTAAAAAGATTATTAATAACTTTTGCGTATGCGCATGCAAGATATACAGTCAATCCTCTTATTTTGTTATCACATTTTTTGATTTCTGTTGGTGTTACAATCAAATGTTGAAGGTAATATTTTTTATTGTAATATTTTATAAAAACCAAATCATTAAAATCTTTCCAACCCGAATATTTTAATAACCCATCTAACTGCTGTGTTGTTGTTTTTTTTGAGCCTAAATCTGCTTTTGTATACAAAATCACAAAAAATAATAAAAAATTAAACTTGATGTATTTTAAAGAATGCATTAAGGTAAAGAGAGACAAAAGATTAAAACTTTTTTATCGAAATTTAATTTTGCGGAGAATCAAAAGAATCGTGTTTATTCTATGATTACGGATATTTATACTGTTGTCATTTATAAATAATATGGTAAATATTTATGATAAACACATCTGTTTTTTGATAACAAATTTCTTAATTTTTTTTTTTAATTTTAGACTTATTTATCTAAATAAACTTCTACTGACATTTTTACATTTTTTTAATCGAAAAAAATAGCTAAATACAGATGATGAATTTTTTAGATTAGTATTGATTGACATCTGACAGCTTCAATTTACTGTTGTACCACTTAAGCGTGATCGAAGTACGTTAGGAATACAACTTAACTTATTTACCAAAAATTACATGGTTTTTTACTTTAAGAGAGGTTTAAGACAACAAGTCACTGGAAAGTTTTCTTTTTTAAATCATGTTTTACAAACAAGCTTTAATTTGAAATATTTTAGAACTATGTAAGTATTCCTATGAAAAATATTACAAAATTGGATTTTTTCCTTATAATTGTATTATTTTTTGCCCTAATGCCTGATAACTCCTAGATAAAGATGTTTCCGTTAGTTTTTCTTTTATAATCTTGACATTTGGCACGATTCCCCGTCGCTTCGTGATACACAGTGCTCCATCTTTGTCAGTCGTCACTGTAGTTTGGGTATAGGGTAGTTTGATTGTCCAATACCACATGTCGTACGCCACGGTATAAAGTCTAGCAAGTACCGTACGACCGACGACGACCCGCCCCTCAAATATGAATGGAGTCTTCTTCACGTCGTCGAGGGTGTACGCTACGGACTCTCGAAGTGTCGCACGACCGGACACGACGAACCGACACGGCGTCATATCAACGCTGCTAACTTTTGATGACCACACCGGACATCGCGTCACCGCGAAAGTGCCTCGATGTTATGCGAAGATTATCATTAGCTGTGTCCGTCTTTTCGGTTTCTTTTTAAAAATGTTGTTGCTCATCAATAACAAACAACCGACTGGTGGTGTCTACCATCAAAAACATTATTGCAACGCAAGTTGTGTCATCTAACTCTCCGGCGGGGAATCGAACCCGGTTTCCAGCGCGACAGACTTATCCCTACGTGAAATGACTTGTTGTTACTTTCAACAGTAATAGATAAATTAATTATTTGAAAACAAACTAACTCAATTTATTAACTGAAACAAAAGTTATAGTATTTGTCATATTTAAGGAATAATGTCAAACGTTGCGTACATTAAAAATAAAGTTTCGTGCTTTGTAGGCACAGATAGGAAATCATAGGTATTATGGTTTATTTTCTTTTAAGGTTTTTTAATCATTTTGCATGAGTTTGTATATTATTAACAAAATATTTTTTCAAATTGTTCTTTACTTACACCTGAGATATATTGTCAAGGCTCGTACTTTTAGATCGCATCATACTCTGCTTGTTGGTATTTTAATTTCATTTTCTAGGTAAATATAAGTTTTGTAATACGTTATAAAGCTCACAACAACAAAATTTTTCATTCTACATATTTTTATAAATTATCTAATTTATCCACTGCTTGTCTTAAATTTGCATTATTTCTTGTCTAGAGTTTCGCCGTTATTATTAACTATTAATCAATTGATTATTATTTTGTCGATAAAAATATAACTATTAAAATAAAAACAGTAATTAATAAACGAGTATAATCTATGTAATATACACAGTGATCAAATCTGGAATTACTTTCTTAAAAAGTATTGAAAATTTTAAATTTTTGTACAGAGGATTTTTGATCCAAAAATTCTATAATAATATGTAGTATAGAATTTTTTTTACATTTTTTTAAGGTTGAAAAACTTTAAATGTTATTTCCTTAAACGGATTTCTTCATTTTGAACTTGTTTATATGGAAAAATACAAACATTTTGCTCTTTAACACTTTTATCTGATTAACTTTTTGTGTTTAAAAATAGTTAAAATATTTGGATTTCAAATAAAATTGTATTATTAATTTAGTTTTATAATACTAGTAACAGCACTAAACTGACTCGATAGCCCATAAATTTTGTTATTTATCAAAAAACTTTTGTTATCTTACCATTCTATTCTACCATCTTATTTATCATATCTTAGTTAATAAATATAGGTTTATGTGACAGCATAGATAATGTAGTAAACAAAACAATAAAATAATTTAAAAGATTCAAATTTATCCTAGTTTACTTCTCTTTATGTTTGTTTATCATGTACATTTTTAAGGAGTAAAACATATGATTAAATATTCTCACTTACCTTTATTTCCTTTCGTAGTTGTCAGAATTAATCCTTTAGTAATTTCTCGGTTCAGTGTTAATAATCGTTCGTTCTTACGTTTATTTCTATTAATAAGATTTGTGTGTATATTAAATATTAATCATCAATACGCACTTTATTTAGTTCGACAATATACGTCGTTTATCAAATACGCACGTAAAAATATTCTCTACGAGGGCACCTAAGACTATCTTAATACATAATAAAACAAGGTAAAAAACGTTATTCTGGGAAAATTACTTAGCGTGCTTCGATTTTCAGAATTTTTTTTCAAAGAAGTCACGAGACTCCGAGAAAATTATTGGTGAAGGTCGGAAAATTTTTGTTGCTTGCCCGCAAGCGTTTTAAAATTTCGAGAAAAACTCTCGCTGAGGGCAGTGTTTAATGATTTAAGGTTTGCATGGACTTAAATCTATTCACATGGTTTTAATAAGCGTATTGACTCATTTCTGTACTTATACAGAATGGAACAGATTTAACTGACAACTCGTATAACTTATGTACTACATAACATTTTATACTTTTATTTTTTTAATAAATTTTTACACTAGAGAACTATATTTAAAATATATTTTATGTTATTTTTCGCAATTAAAAAAAATATTTTAAAAATTAATTTTTTTATCAAAATGTTTTTTTAAGATTTGAAGATAGCCATTTAATATTTAAGTTTTAAAGAATAATTTTTTTACCAAAAACTCTTATTTTAATTCAGTAGTTTGGTTTATACAGAATTTTTAAATTTGTTAAATTTCGATTTTTTTTTTTTGCAATTTTTCTACGGTGTCAAATGTTAGTTCATATTATGTAAAGTACGGAAGTAAATACTTAGTACGTTATAATTGAATTTTTAATATATTTTTGTTACACTGATTCTGATATAATATATTTTCTGCAGAATATTTATAGTGCCAGGCGCAGCTGTGTACTCTTATCGGAATCAGTGGCCTACTTGTGAGGATGCCTTAAAGAGGCTTACTCGCTGAAGGCGCGTGAGGCTCGTAGTGCCTCAGCTAGGCGAAGCCTGTTATGATTTATTTTTTATACTTTTCAAACTCTTTTCATATTGTACTAGGTTTTCACTAATAATATTTTCGATAAATTCACTACAGTCGGTGTCGATATTCTTAAAACTTGCTCTAAACTCTTCAAAACAGAATTATAAGAATATGTCTATCTATATTAAAAAGATAATCAACAAGACTGCGATGGCCCAGCCTTTCTCATTGTAAAGCCTTGGCTGGCGCAGACACAGTTAACCTTGTTAGTATATATTAAATATTATTACAATATACCTTAATATTATTTACGCCAACTGCTTAAAAGTACCCAAGAAGGTAGGACTTAACCTCATAACTGAAGGGTACACGGGCCTAAAGCAGTACTGCTATAGTAGTTAATATCGATTACAATATTATGATTCTTAACACTTTTCGGCACATTTAAAGCTGTTCATGAATGAAGGCCACAATAATATTTAGACTGTTTACCAAAAATAATATGAATTTTATATCTAAATAAATATTATTATGTATTTTCACTTCATTCGGCACATTTATGGCTGCCCAGGAATGGAGAACATGGAGAAATATTTGAAATTATTAAATATAATAAAACAATATTAATTTCTTGTGAGGATATTAAGTTAAAATAAAAATAAATAAGACTTATTTTCTGGGCAAAATATATTAAATTATCTTGAGATAATTTTCACTATTTAAAGTAATATGAAAAAAAAAAATTAGTAGTCAGGACAAATTATTTACTCATACTGACGCAAATTCCATGTTAGAGAATATCAATCAAGAGCATTAAAAATCCTTCCATACAAAAAAATTCCCTGCTTTAGGAAAAAATTACATTTTTACATTCTTGAAAGAGTAAACCAGCAATTTCTAGTGAATTTTCTGGATTGCTGAATAATTATTTGTGATAAATTAATTATGATAGAACCCTTGTGTAGGTGTTAATAATAAATTATAAGGGACTAGTTTTAAACACATGTTGATAAATAGTTATTTTGAATACACTAAAAGGGAACATTCCTTAGATGATTTTTTCTTTATTTATATATACAGGACGATTATTTATCATAACTTACAGAATAAAACAAACTCAACACAATGGAGTCGGGGCAATTGGGGACGTAGCATAGTAGTTGAGTACAGTATAGATAATATCTGACAGTGATAATAATCACTATCATAAAAAACTGTTCGATGCAAATCTGTAGATAGTGTTTAATTTAAAAAAAATGGGTGGATTATTCCAAAAGCTACATGATCTCCTATTTCAACATTTTTTCAATTTTTGAGGGTAATGTCTTTCATTAATTTTTGAGTTACGATAAATTATTTTATTTCCTCTCACCTGTTGTCTCCTTGTATATCTAGATGAGACAACCCGCCTAAGTTTTCTTCAGGACTTCTCATATTTTTTGACAAAATTTTACACCGGCTGTCGACGCAACCCCATTAGCATCTTTACGAGTACCTTTTACACAGCAAAATATACTGAAAACTGCTTTGACAATTTTAGCTAAAATAAAAGTTTTGACCCTGCAAATTGCAACTATTCACTTTGTTCGAAACAATTTTAGCTTCGATGCGTAGCGGAGAAGGTATTAATTTTACTATGATGTGTTTTTTTTTTTTTTTATGTCTGTTGCCACTTTTTCTCAGCTCTCACTGGACCGATTTCTTTGAAAAATACGTCAAAAGATCACAAATCGTATCTAGTTGAAGACATTACCCTTAAAAATTGAAAAAATTTCCCTCGTTCCCCGTAAATGGGGGAAATATCCAAAAAAATTACAAATTTAAAAATCGCTAATTTTCGAAATTTTTTCACTTTTTTTTCTTAAAACTTCCATAACTTTTTGAAAAATCAACAAATCAACATAATTTTTTTTTATACTAAAACCTTAGATATTTACCTTTCATTTGATATCATTTTTTTGAAAATCTATCACTTAACCTGCTCATTAGGGGGGATTTAAAATAGCAACTTTTTTACAAAAATTAACTTTTTCAACTTAATTTTTGAAAATGTTCCGGAAATACTGCGTCCTTTAAACATATATCAAATTAAAGCTTATTTTATGTACTATAAAATGAAAAAAAAAAATTTGTCCCGACACTTTTTTTTCTACATTTAAACGGCTGCCGTAGTTAAAAAAACACTATTTTTGTGTTAAAATTTTCGATTTTCGATTTTTAATTTTCAACTTAAAAATGCTATAACTTTTTGAAAAATGTATATATCAGCACAATTTTTGTTTTCTAAATACATTATAAGTACATCTTTCATTTGACATACTTTTTATTAAAATTGGACAATTTCCCCTTATATAGGAGGCGTTCAAATGTTGAAATATTGTAAAAAATATAGAACTTTTTCAACTTAACTTTTGAAAGTGTTCCGGAAATACTGCGTCCTTTAAACATATATAAAATTAAAGCTTATTATATGTACTATAAAATAAAAAAAAAAAATTTGTCCCGACGATCTATCTTCTATGTGCAAATGGCTGTCGAAAATTAAAAAAAAATGTAATGTTTGCGATAAATATTACCTTTTATCGGAATGTTTTTTGTGCTTAAAACTGTCATAACTTTTTCAAAAATTAACAAATAAAAATAATATTTTCTTGTATTGAAACCTTAGATATTTCCCTTTCATTTGATATAATTTTTTTTGAAAATCTAACACTTATTCTGTTCACTGGGGGGATTTAAAATAGTAACTTTTTTACAAAAATGAACTTTTTCAACTTAATTTTTGAAAATGTTCCGGAAATACTGCGTCCTTCAAACATATATAAAATTAAAGCTTATTTTATGTACTACAAAATGAAAAAAAAAAATTTGTCCCGACGACCTATCTTTTATACGCAAATGGCTGCCGTATTCAAAAATATGCTATTTTTGTATTCAAATTATGGGTTTTGTATTTTATTTTAATAGAAGTTGATGTTAATTTTGCAATTATCCATCAATTTTTTAAAATTAAACACTATCTACAGATTTGCATTGAAGCGTTTCTTATGATAGTGATTTTAATCACTGTCAGATTAAATCTATCTGGACCCAACTATGCAATGTCTCCACTATGCCGCGACCCTACTGTGCTACCGTTTAATTTTTTAATTAAACATTTATAAGATATAATTACAGAAGATCACTTATACAAAGATCGTTTAATATATAAAGCCAACAACTGTATATATACTTTTATATACTAGATATAATATATTCAGTAAAAAATGAAATGTAATGTAATATAATTGATGGAAATATATTAGAAAAATGGTAGTACAGTGGGGATAAATTATTTTGTTTTGTTCATTTTTCAAAAAGTTATGGCAGTTTTAAATTAAAAACGTTCAAAAAATGTAGAAAATTACCAATTTTTAAAATTGTAATTTTTTGGAGATTTTCCCCATTTACGGAGAACGAAGTAAATTTTTTCAATTTTTGAGGGTATTGTCTTCAATTAGATACGATTTTTAATCTTTAGATGTATTGATCATCAAAATCGATCCAGTGAGAGCTTTAAATAAGTGGTAATAGACACGGGAAAAAATAATAATAATAATAATAAACACATTAAAGTATAATTAATACCTTCTCAGTTTCGTATCGAAGTAAAATAAGTAAATTAGTAGTCTACATTTCGAACTGACTTTTCAAGTCATCTTTTCAATATTTTTGACCATTATATATGACGAACAATATAGTCATATAGGACGGAGGGGGCAGGTACTCCATATTCTTAAAATACTCAAATTATAATTACAAATATAATCTTCAGACATGTTTTAGCTTCAGATGCGAAGCTGAGAAGTTATTGGTTTTAATATGATGTGTTTTTTTTTTTTTTTTTTGGGTTCTGTTATCACTTTTTCTCAGCTCTCACCGAACGGATTTCTTTCAACGATACGTCAAAAGATCACAAATCATATCTAGTCGAAGACATTACCCTCAAAAATTCAAAAAATTTCCCTCGTTCCTCGTAAATGGGCGAAACTTCCAAAAAAATTGCAATTTTAAAAATTGCTAATTTTCGAAATTTTCGAAATTTTTTTTACTAAAAACTGTCGTAACTTTTCTAAAATGAACAAATCAATATAATTTTTTTTTTATAGATGCTTGATGTCTTTACCTATCATTTGGTATATTTTTTTTATAAATCTGACCTTTTACCTGCCCACAGGGGGGGATTTAAAATGACAACTTTTTCAACTTAACTTTTGAAAGTGTTCCGAAAAGTCTGACACTTTTATATATATATATATATATATCTTAAATTAAAGCTAATGTAATATAATTTAATTTGAAAAAAAAAATTTGACCTCTGGACTTTTCTTCGTGATGAAAATAGACACAAAGTTAATAAAAAATTACGATTTTTGTAAAATAATTTTTTTTTATATTTTTAACTTAATAATGCTATAACTTTATGGAAAATGTATGGATAAGTAAATTTTTTTTTTATATAGATGCTTGATGTCTTTACTTATCATTTGGTATATTTTTTTTTTGTAAATCTGACCCTTTATCTGCTTACAGGGGGGATTTAAAATTACAACTTTTTCACAAAAAATTAACTTTTTCAACTTAACTTTTAAAAGTGTTCCGGAAGGTCTGACACTTTTATATATATCTTAAATTAAAGCTTATGTAATATACTTTAATTTGAAAAAAAAAATTGACCTCTGAACTTGTCTTCACGGCGAAAATGGCAACCGAATGCCATTTTCGTGTGAAAATTCTCGATTTTATTTTTTACATTTTTAACTTAATAATGCTGTAACTTATTAAAAAGTGTATGGATCAACACAATTTTTTTATGAGAAATAATATTTTTTAATAATCCCTTTTTCATTCGACATATTTTATCTTAATCGAGATATTAATAAGGAACCAGCAGATCAAGTAGCTTTTGGAATAAAACACTAATTTTTTTTTAAATTAAACACTATCTAAAGATTTGCATTGAAGCGTTTATTTTTGATAGTGATTTTAATCACTGTCAGATATCATTATACAAGATCCAACTATGCAGCAACGTCACCACTGTGCTGCGCCCCCTCTGTACTGGGTTTTTATTTACCTTTTTATTGGGAAAGCAAAAGAGTGATGGGATTGACGAGGATGTAAGAAACCGAATTAAGTTCGGGTGGTCGAAGTGGAGAGAAGCGTCTGACGTCTTATGTGAAAAAAGAATTCCAATGAGGCTGAAAGGAAAATTCTACAAGATTGTAATAAGGCCAGCTATGATGTATGGTTCAGAGTGTTGGGTGGTTGATAAAAAAGTAGAACAGAGAATGAGTGTAGCAGAGATGAGAATGCTTAGATGAGTGCAGTGACTAGAGAAGATAGATAAGGAACATATAAGAGGGAGTATAGGTGTAATGTAATGAGAGAAAATAGACTTAGATGGTTTGGTCATGTTACGAGTAGAGAATAATCGGAAGTTGTAAGAACAGTTATAGAAATGAATGTTGAAGGAAGAAGAGGTAGAGGAAGACCAAAAAAAAGATGGAGGGAGGATGCTATTGAATGCGATTTGAGGATAGCTGATGTGAGCGTAGATGATGTGGGAGATTGTGCAAGTGGAAGTTTAGGATAAGGGTGGCCGACCCCAAGTAGTTTGGATTAAGACGAGGAAGACGAAGAAGAAGACACTAATTTCTACTTCCGTTACAAATCTTATTACTGTCTCTAAGTCATCTTGTTGTTGATTTTATTACTTATTTTCAAGTTTATTTTTCAATAACGTTATATACTCCGTTGGATGAAATTTTTCAATAAATTCTTGTTTTAAAGATACCCATTTTCACTAGGTAGATTTCTCCTATAAATTCTCAAGAAAAATGCTAGCAGTGGATAAAAATTTTACCTAATTATCATCAATGCAACCGTTTACTTCTCCTGTTTTGTCATATTGTTTAAAAAATTCACAATAAGAAAAATTAATTCAAACAGTATAACCAAATTGTTAAAATTATAAAAAATTCATAAAATACATTATTATCAAATAATCGGAGTAATATTACTAACCTTGATTATTGATCCAGTTGAAATACCAGAACATAATAAAATTTATTGTCGTAATTGTGTGTTTGAGTCACTAGTTTTGAACAACTTTGTCGTGTCAATATCAATTGAAGACACAACTCTTTTATAAGTTTGTTATAACAACACTAGATTTTAGCTTTATAAATAAACAAAACCATTGAGTCTAAGTTGACTCAAGACCTTTTTCTCTCTGAACACTACCATGGAATATATCCACGACTGTCAGCCGTAAAAAAGTAAAAAGACTAATGTACTCAATTTATACCAGCACACTTTACTCGTTAATACAATCAAGGACGTATCATATAGATACCCTATCGTGTTTTAATGAGAAAACTTATATAGCTTTACTTAGAGTAAAAGCAAAGCAAAATAGATAAATTTTGTATTTTTCAATGTCACAAACATAATAATTAAATTATATAACTAAAAGATCATAAACAAGAACACAATTTGAAAAATAAAATAATACATAGACAATAAATAATATTATACAGGTATAAAGAATTGTTTGTTAAAACGACTAAAATTTTATTTTATTATTTCTAATGTTATATTTTAGTTTATTGTAATATTACACAATAGTTATTTAATGTACAGCAAAATTAATTTGATTACAACTTTTAATAAGTTACTATTTGCTTGTCGTTGGAGACTAGTCATCAATTGCATTAAGTTCCAATTCTAGAGTCAAAAAATAATAATTATAAGATATTAAATTAATATTTTTTTATTAAAAATACCTATTTTAATTGGGTCATTTCTTGTTGCTACAAACGTTTCTTCAGTAATTGGATCAAATTTAAATCCTAGTTGAATATACTGTTCTTTAATGACTGTCTTTACATTATTTTCAATTTTTTTCTTTAAGAATTTGATAAATACAAATCTTTTACCGTGGTCAATAATTGTGTTATATTCTTGAACCCATTTATTCCATAAATCACTTGGATCATAAGATACAAATACGCAATAGTTATCAGTTAAAAATTTTATTTCTTTTAATTTGATTTTAATAAAATAATCTATAAAATTTAATGTCCAAATGTATACAGAAACATTATCACGTGATAGAGTTAGTATGTTTAAATCGTCAATAATATTTCTAAATGACTCTAAAAAAATGTTTATTGTGCAGTAACTTTTTACAAGTGTATAATGTGGATATTTGTGTATTAAATCCAAAGCATCCATAGCTCCTTGCATCAATGTTATCAGTGGAACAATTATTAAGCTTATTATGTATACAAGTTCTTCGGTGCAAATACATCCTTTAATTAAATCTTTCTCTTCTTGAATTTGTTTTTGACAAATTTGTAAGATGTTGCTAATAACTAAAGAAATTTCATTTATAAATTTTACATATACGCATCCAAGACATACAGTCATAGCTCTTATTTTTTGATAACATTTATTGCGATGTGTTGGTATTACAATCAAATTTTTAACATAATGTGTGGTTTCATGAAGCTTTATAGAAATCAAATCTATTAAATTTTTCCACCCCGAATATTTTAGTAACTCATCTAACTGATCAATCGTTTTTCTTTTAGCCGGTTCTGCTTTTGTATACAATAACATAGAAAATAATACAAAACTAAATGTGTAAAGTTTTAATGAATACATTATTAAATTTTTTATATCTGAAATTTTTTTATTAAAAATAATTTATAAAGTGTCAGAAAACCCTAATGTATTCTATACGACTTTTATAAATAATATGACATTAATTATATATACTTATGATAAAACATCTGTCGCCTTATAATAAATTTCNTATAAATAATATGACATTAATTATATATACTTATGATAAAACATCTGTCGCCTTATAATAAATTTCTTTAGTTTTTAATTTGTTGAGTGATTAAATAACAAAATATTTTACGGCAGTTTTTTTTTTACTATGACTAAAAATAAATAAAACAATGTAATTAAAATATTTCATGAAAATATTTCACACAATTTAAAATTAATGTTTTAACATTTTCATATTGATCTCTGTAATTTATATTTATCTATAAATTAATTGTAATTTTAAACTAAAAATTTATATTAAAAAAAAATTGATTGCTTGAGGATAAAACTATTTAAAATTAAAATATTGATTAAAAACTACAAATATTAAAATGATTTAATTTAAAAAGCCACAAAATTCGATGTTTATATTTATTCTTTTGACAGACTTCAGCATGACCATAATATTTTTTTTTTTGAGTAATTTTACCAATAGGAAGACCCTAGTTCACAAAGGGTACAAGTGACAAATTTAATTTTTGGAGAAAATCAATGATAAAGTTGGTAGCATGTAGCATTAAAGGTATGCTTGTACAACAAAGTTGAGGATATATTATATCAAATATGAACAAATGCAATATAGTATACTAATATAAACTCTACGTGGATAAAATAAAGTTCAAACCGAAAAAAGTACAATTGAACAGTAAATTAATTATAAAGCAAATGTTTAAACAAAAGATATATAACAATGAACGTGATTAAATATGTCAACAAATTTGTATTATAAACATATTTTAAAAAAATCGACAGAAAGTATCTTAATAAAAGTATGCTTAATAAACTAAACATAAAATATAAAAATAACAAACATAATATAAAAACAAAATAGAACGTTATAACTCACAATCATATCATATATAATAAGAATAACGTAAATAAATAAAATAGAAAATTACAAAGTCATAAAATTCATATTTTACAAGTTAAGGATCACAAAAAATATATGTGTTAAAGGTCGTATAACGGTGAAAAATGAACGGATTGAATTAATTTTTTGTATAATATCTCAGAAATTTCATTGAAATTTCAGGTGAAAATTTCAAACCTGTAATCGTAAAACGCTGTCATCATCGAGCGTTCCTCGTTCCTCGTAAATGGAGGAAACTTCCAAAAAAATTACAAATTTAAATATCGCTAATTTTCGAAATTTTTTCAATTTTTTTTACTAAAAACTGCCGTAACTTTTTCAAAAATGAACATATCAATATAATTTGTTTTTTTATAGATACTTGATGTCTTTACCTATTATTTGGTATATTTTTATAAATTTAACCCTTTATTTGCCCACAGGGGGGGATTTAAAATGATAACTTTTTCAACTTAACTTTTGAAAGTGTTCCGGAAAGTCTGACACTTTTATATTTATCTTAAATTAAAGCTAATGTAATGTACTTTCTTATGGGAAAAATAAATTTGACCTCTGGACATGTCTTTGTGGTGAAAATGGCTACCGAATGCTATGATTATGTGAAAATTCTCGATTTTATATTTTACATTTTTTATCATGTTGATTAATTTAGCTGATAAACCTAAGTCTTTAAGAATTTTCAATAGACTTTCTCTATTTATGCTATCATAGGCTTCTTTATAATCCACAAAAACCATATGTAGAATTTTCGCAAAATCGAAACTATTTTCTATTATGTGTCTTATTTGATATTTACCAAATTGTAAGTAAATATTGAATATATCTTAATAAAAATCAGTGCGTGTTACGAGTACACGTGGATGAAGTGAAACTTTTTTTTTTTATGAAGAGATCACGTAAAAATGCATCTATTATATTTCTTTAAAAGTTTTACAACCAAGAGAAGGGCACGAGGGGTATCACACTTGGCAATATTAAACCCCTTCTGTCAATGTGCCGATGCTAGATTTTAAGAATCCCTGTGCTAAAAAGAAAAGGTTGAAATGAGATAGATCCCTTTTTATAAATAGTTGTTGGTTGGGTTTGTTGTAGAAATATATATAAATTAGATGAAGTTATTCAAATAAGCAAAATTCAATTTGTATACAAATATATATATATAATAATAATAATAATTGTATATATTATCAATGCCGGATCTAATCACTATGTCAATATAAACACTGAATAATTTGTATATAATAATTTGTGTATATTTATACACATTTGTATAAATATTTTAAATATGAAAAATTATACAAAATTATAAAGGAACGTTAGGGACAATAACATATTTTTAACAATAATATTTTTCAAGGTGAGGGAATGTATTTAGCCTCCAAAAATTGTATTCTAATTATGCTTAATTTAATAAATAAGCATTTGTTAATTCTTATTACCAGAATTAACAAAGGTATAAAAATGAACAGTGATACAAATCCACTGTGAAGTTTACTAAAACTTTGACAAGGTTTAGAATAAACTATTCTATATAACTATGGTTTTAGTAGCACAGCAACTGACTATGGTACAATTGAGACAGCATTTGTGTATATTTTGGTTAGGTCACAAATTTGTTCACAAGATTACAGTTTCAGGTATAACTGGATTACACGCTTTTTACAGATATTCTCTTTTTAATAATGAATGTTTATTAAAAGACATATACTTTTATGGCTAACGGAAATTTATCATTAAACATTTTTAATAAACAATCGGTATCAAAAATTGTTTAGATAACTACCATAATAAATAATTTATGGGCGCTATCAAAACAGATTATACTGCCGCGATGACATCAATAATACCGGGGGCACTTCCATCGATATTATAAAGCGAAATAAATGACAAATTTTTTATTGAAATTCAAATCTTTAAACAATTATAAAACGCAAACGGTTGCTCGGATAAAAAAAAATTATAAGAACAAAATTGCTTGTAATTTTTTCCATCAAATTATTAATTCAAAAATAGTTGTTTCCATTAAAAAAAAATTATAAATAAAGATTTTTATCCCAGAGTGTTAAAAAAAAATTATTAACAACATACTATAAAACAGTTATGAAATTCATATTTTTTTTTTTTACAAAAATGTAAAACTTTCAACAGTTTATAAGAGAATGAGTGTCTTACCAAATTTCGGATCACTCTGTATATGTTATCTGATAGTGTTTAAAATTACTATTATAAGAAACGTCAGTTTGAAGTTTTATGATTTATAGATATAATACATTAATAAATACTTATTATGGTAGTTCAATTAGTATAAAATTGATATTCAATAATTTAATATTGTAATTTTTACAAAGAAATTATAAAAAAATTATATAATTGTTGTATTTCCTTACATTAATGATATTTTTAAGATTGTGACTACATTTTTAATATATTGTTAAATACATCACTATAACATTAGATATCATCTATACTTATCCCAACTTTGTCCTACTGAACTGAACTACTGTTTTTTTTTAATTTTACGTATATTACAAATGTTGCCATGTAAAAAAATAATATTGACACCCTTATATGGTATAAGGTATGAATTATAAAAATCTTAATAATTATTATATGAAGAAATATATAAAATTAAACAACACCAAAAATAATTTTCTTAATGTTATAATTATTTTAAGAGTAATCGAGTTGCTAATATTAAAAGAATTACCTATATACGCAAAAACTTTATAACTTTTTGTAAGTTATCCGTAAAAACTACAATACTAAATTTTTCAACATCAATTTCATACTAAATTTAATTACTATAATATGTATTTATTCATGTATTACTTTTATAAATAATAAAACTTCGTTTATATTAAAATATCGCCTAAGACAATATAGACAAGAAAAAATATTATAAGCTATTTGGTGCTAAAAGCATAAGGCGGTGACTTATAAAATAAAGTAATAAATGGGTTTCACTCTTTCTACAGTAAAATTATGTTAGAATTTTTGATTTATAATAATATTAACCTTTTTAACTCATAGGCATATAATATTTTTGAGCATATTGTCTGGTCGTATTTATATAACCTCATAACATTAAGTACTAAATCATTTTTCAGCTATTTGGATCTTAAATTCTTTTTTNACTAAATCATTTTTCAGCTATTTGGATCTTAAATTCTTTTTTTAGTTTTAACAGGACTAGATAAAGGAGGGTTTGGTAGCGATCACTCCGGGGCTCATTTCGGATTTTAATAGCATGCCAAGATATGTAATGTACGAAAAAATGTAATTTTATACGATTTTATGACCAAATTTTTTTTTGGTCGTTACTTTTTTATGGATGCTGTATTTTTTTACTTTCTCGAATGAGCTATGCAAGGAAGTCCAATCAACTCAACTTAACTTTATCGATCATGTTCATAAATATTTGTGATTGGCTGTATATAGCAACAATAACTTTTTTTACTGAGTGTACACTATCTACTAGATAGTTACATTTTATTTTAGAATAAATAATTTAATTTATGCCCATTAATGAATCAGAGGGGATAAATCTAAATCCTGTTTAGTATTACATATGACAATTATTTGAAACACTTGATAGTAGTTAATTGGCTTTTTGTCAGGGCGTTTCATATACATATACATATTGAGTAGCATGTCCGTATGGATAATCCGTGGGGAGCCCGTATGTGACAATAGCCTCAATCAAAACCATCGCGGTATATGTTTTATTATGTATAACGTCCTAACTACTACGACTGCGATAAGAGTCGGTCGTCGTACATTTTTATGTAATATTTGCCGTATTTTGATATAAATAAAAAAACATATGATAAGACCGTTATTTAAGAATATAAAAAAAATCGTATTAAGAAGACAATTGTTTTAGAAATGTACATAATTACAAATTAAATTTCAATTATTCTACTTAATTAAATTTTTAAATTAAAAAAAAAAAAATCAAGTTTCCCTAAACAATCATTGATTATTTTTGAAAAAACGGAATGAAATCTATGATTTATCGTAGAATTGTTTCTTAATAAATTAAATTTAAATTATTAATAAGTATTACTTTGGAATATTTTTTCTATTTTGCTAATAGTATTATTTCTCATCTTTCAAATAAGTAGTTTAAACTTTGGCTATTTATTTTGATAAAAAAAATTACATTTATTTCAATGTAGAAAACATCGAATATTATTCAATATATTTTTTAGCTAAAATTTTAATCCTTGGTCATGAAGAAATAAGCTTTTGTAATAATACTGGATTAATTAAATATTTATAACACTCTTTAATCTATACTATATTGAACTATTGAAGAGGTCAAGTCTAGTAGAAGCGCTTTAAAAACTCATCTGGTAAAGATTAGTAAATTAAAAGATATACAGGGTGGCCCACCACTCACTGACAACTTAAATAACTTTTGATCCAGTTAATATTTTTAGTTGATTTTTTTTTTTTATAATAGTTATACGTTAGGTCTATAGCTATATCTCAATAATTAATTTTTTTACATTTTATTAAAAATATTAATTATTTTTAAATTTTAAATAAAATGTAAAAAAAAAATCTAAGATAGCTATTTTGTAGAGTAGAATTTAAGAAAAATTTTAGTAAAAAAATATCTTATTAATATTCAGTAGTAAATATTCTGTAGCGTTTTGAAGTTTGTGAAAATTTGAATTTTCATGTACTATTTTACGGTATTAAACATTGAAATACGTATTGAGAAAAGGACAGAAGAAAACGCTATCTTTTCATGATTACTGTGTATACATATGATGATAGTGTGTATACATTACAAACTTGGCATAAATACCATGATAAGAAATTAGATAAGGCAATTATTACTTATCACTCTCATTCAAAAGTATATTGAAAAGATAGCGTTTTCTTCTGTCCTTTTCTCAATACGTATTTCAATGTTTAATACCGTAAAATAGTACATGAAAATTCAAATTTTCACAAACTTCAAAACGCTACAGAATATTTACTACTGAATATTAATAAGATATTTTTTTACTAAAATTTTTCTTAAATTCTACTCTACAAAATAGCTATCTTAGATTTTTTTTTTACATTTTATTTAAAATTTAAAAATAATTAATATTTTTAATAAAATGTAAAAAAATTAATTATTGAGATATAGCTATAGACCTAACGTATAACTATTATTTAAAAAAAAAATCAACTAAAAATATTAACTGGATCAAAAGCTATTTAAGTTGTCAGTGAGTGGTGGGCCACTCTGTATAGTGTTCAGTAAACAAGAAAACAGGTCAACTGTTACAAACAATTAGAAAAATGGAAACCTGTTTTCTTACTTATTGAACATCCTGTATGTAAGAATGAAGGTGTACCTGCTTTACTCTAGTACTTTTGTGTGTCGGGCAATCAAGTAATTAGTAGCCTCTTGTTAATGGGTTCCGCTCAGACATCTTAAGCAATTGTGCGTATGATATACGTGATTATTTCATTAAATAAAAAGGTACTTTGGATTACATTATGAAATAACCGCGTTGAAAGATTTAAAGATAAATTTAATTTAAAATATAATAGCTTACATTTCAACGTCTTTACTATGTTAATAAATTACAGCACATTAGTATACCAAGTTTTAAGAGAATTACACTATAGTACATTTAAGTCTTGTTGAAAATATAATTAATATAATGAACAATTTTTATTCAAACAATTTAAATAAGAATATGAAACATTATTTTTTTAGATTTTTGAAATTTATTGGTACAGTACTGAAATTTATAAATGTAGTAAGTTTTTTTTGTTTAATAAATTTAGAGTGATATTGACTTTCCCCGTCCTCATTAACTTCCTCATTTAGTAGATAACTAGATAACTTGTAAAGTTTCATTTTAGAAGATGAAATTTTTAATTTTATTTTAAAATTGAAGTTCTAGTTATAATTGTTAATTTACAATTATTTCAATTATTATAGTTACAATACTAATGATACCGAGGAAATATCGCAAAAAGAAACTAGTAGCCTGAATTGAAAATAAATCTATTCTATTGATGACCTGTTTCCTTACTTACTGAACACTGTATAAAATATGCAATAGTTTAAACACATTTACATTGTACACTAATCCAACCCCTATATTCAGATCATAAAAAGAGCTATTACCACAGTCCCAAATAAGAACCAACCTTTTTTTACTTTTTACTTTTTTCGAGATTGTCACAATCATAACATACCATGCATTTGAGAAACCCCATTATAATTGTACTAATAGAATACAAATGTATACAGGGTGTTCAGTAAGTCAGGAAATGGGTTTCTATTGTTCTCATTGTTTGTAACAATGAGAACAATAGAAACCCGTTTCCTGACTTACTGAACACCCTGTATATTTATAGCATATTCAACAAGTAAGGTAAAAGTATTGATGTCTATTATATGTCAACAGATTTCAATACATTTAAAATGCGTTAATAATGATGTTTCAAAATATTTTTATGTTTATAAAACTTTAAGTATTAATTTTATACTAATGAACAGATATTGCTTAGAAAAAATTACTTATGACTTTTTATAAGTAATGTATGTTATATTTAAATAATTAAGAACGTCTTAATAATAATGATATTTTATTATTATTATCATAGTGTTATTTGATATTTATATGCTTAATAAAACATTCTAAAATTAAATTATAAAATAATTTTTATTAGGTAATGATGAGGGTTTATAATGAAACATTATGAATAATGATTTCACAATAGTTCTGTAAAAGATTTATGTGACGCATGTCTTCTATTCTAGGTATTCATTAGAGAATTATTGGTAGTTGTCTCATTAGTGAAGGCTAATGACTGTTTACAATATTTAGTCATAAATGTTTTCTTATTACCTAAGTAAGCAAAAGGTTCTTTTAAATTGCTTCGTGATTATTAATATTGCGGCTTGATAGTAATACATTAGTATTTCGTAATATACAGGGTGTTGAATAGGTAATGAATCAGGACAATTGTTTTTCAAACAATAAGAACGATAGAAACCCGTATCATTATTTACTGAACACTATACAAAGTGTTCAGTAAGTAAGGAAACAGGTCAATTGTTACAAATAATAGGAACAATGGAAACCAGTTTCCTTATAATTTCCTCATAAGGTGTTATCTAAACACCTTGTATATCATGAATATTCACATGTTAATGTGAATATTTAAACAATTGGTAAAAGAAAAATCAAAAAAGATCACGACATTAGCAAAGGTTCTGCATGTTATTTACAAGTTATAATTCTTAATTAGACGGATATTTCTACTTTGATAATCATAATATATGTTTATTATTGCTCAATTAATTGAAATTAATATTTATACATTATAAATAATATTATAGCTTCAATACAAGGCTAAAAAAAAATTATTTTCGTGATCCTTGTCATTTAATTTAAAAAGTTGTAACTCATATTTTACTTATTATAAAATATTCTCAAATGATCTATTATTTAGTTTAATATTTTTAATAAATTAAAGTTTTAATTATCCCTTATAAGATAAACGACGTGTTTATAAGCTATATGAAAAAAATATTTTTCATATTTGGTCAATAATTCACAAATAATATGACAATGAATATTACTAGCTATAAATTACAATAAAACACAATTATAAAAAATACCCACGTTACTTATATGTATAGTACAACAAAGTAAAGTAAACTGGTTTAATAAGTTTTCTTAATTACGGTTTGTGTTAAGTTGATTATAATTATACATTTAGTTAATGAAAACTCATATCGTACGTTTAAATTGTAAAAGNAATGAAAACTCATATTGTACGTTTAAATTGTAAACGCCTCCTTTTTTTTAATAAAAACAAAAAATGAAAGAAAGTTGTATTAATAACGTTTTTAGTTTTATCTAAGTATTACAACGGCCAATTAGATCGAATAGTGGGTGTAGTATTTAAAATATCAGAAATTTATTAAAAAATATAAGTTTAGTATTTACCTTAATAGTTGCACTGAAAATTATTGAGTAATATTCAACAATTTTTTTGGACGATTCACTTTATTCTAATGAATATTTTTACAGAAAATTGTAAATTACAAATTCATTTTATGTTATATTTGTAACAAGTTACGTAGTTAAGATTTTTTTGGAGAAAGAATGAAATAAATTAATACTTACTTTATTATTATCAACGATCGTGGGTTGTGGAGTGGAAAACTTAAGAGGCTTTAGAAAAATAATTATATATATAAAAATAATTTTTAAATAAAAATAAAATTAGATTTAACATTACACAAAAAAAAAAGTTCGATCTTATGCTAATATCCACAGAATTTGTTTACAAGTGTTATGCGTAAAATATTTGTAATGTAATAATGTATTGTAACATTTTAACATCATGTGTAATGTTGAATAGTAAGAGATTTTCATATTGAATCTATGTCAAAAGGAACCATAATTAACGCTCAAATTTATTGTTAATAATTATTAACAAACCAATTTTGGCCAATTATAATTGGTCAAAATGTTTGCTATGGTTTTACGATTTTATAAATCTAAAAGACATCTGAGTCTTACATAAAACTATAAAATTATATAAGTATTAGTACAGTATATAACTTTCACTGTATTTTTTGACCGTAATGGCTATTTCTAGGATGTAAAAACAATGTAGAAACTTGATTCGAAAAAAAATATATAAAAATCAATTATTCTTTGTTTATTTTTACATTATGAGTCAGATATATTTTCTTGTGAATAATTTAAATAATATCAAAATAATTTACATGAAAAAACAGACAATTTTTTTTCACTATTCTAGAACATATTACAGTAAATCAAAAAAACACATTTATATACTAGAGCAGTCGTATATTTTTTATTAATTGATTCTAATGTGTAACTAACTATTTTTTCATCTTCAGTTTTAACGGTTTCTTTAAAATAAAAATTCAACGCAGATCACAGATGTTTAACTAGTATACTAATGCCCTTCATTTTTGACGCACTGTGTATATCATTCTCCTGCACAATGAGTGTTAGCATCGAAACTCGCTAGTTCCGCTCCCATGGGATCTAAAGTTTTGTCTACACTCGACATAAAACATATATATTTTAATTATTATGACAACCGCGTTGCACATCCAAAAGCCGCCGCCTATGACGTAAGTCACAGACGCCTCATTAATCGAAAAGCATAATATGTCCGCTTAATATCCGATCGGGGCCATAAGCACATAGATAGCTCAGCATACAAACAAACGCTTAATTATTAATTAAATACTACTTGCCACTACAGTAGATGCGACAATGCATGAATTTTACACTTATAACTATTTAAATATAAAGTATAACATGCATTCATTAATGCTAGTTTGATCAATTAAAATAATTGTTATTATACTGATCAAATTTTATGCAGATGAATGACAATATTGTGAAACTTGCGATTGTTTATAGTTTAATTTTATTATTAAACTTTAAATATGAACTTACTTTTAAAGATCCATTGAGTAATCATTATCGGTAGTAGTAGCAATTATTGTAGTATACTAATTTGAAACTTGGTAGATAGACTTTTTCTATTTTTTAAGTATTAATTTGATGTTGTACACAATAATCGTAGCTGGTATGATGATTAAATGACAGTTATAACGAATTCCTAACTACTCGACAGCTACCAACTGTGTAAGTGTTTCCATGAAAATCCGGCTGCTATGTGATTACAGAGTACCTGTAAAACATTAGTATACATTTACTAACTATGTCTTTATCGTAGTATTGTTTGAAACCCGCTAGTTGTTCTAAATGCTTGCGAGTCGGGGAATGCTGTAAACGGTTATTCTAATCAATTACATGATTTTATAGCGCAATATTACTGAGGAAAATGTATAAAAATATTCATAAAATAATTTTGAAAATGAATTTTAAGTTAAATGTTTTAATATATCATGATAATCCGTACCAATAGACATTCTACATTAACTATGTAATTCATAGTGTATACTTCACGCATCAAATAATATCCTTTGATTTCTACAAATAGGACATTTATATAACTACCAGACTCGGTTCAGCAAGAAATGGCTTCCAGGCCCACAAATTTGGAGGGCCTATTCAGATATCAGTGACCTGAACGTTAAAGCACAGAAAATATATTTTTTTTTTTATTCCAAAATTTTTGTCAATTGGCGTGAATCTTACCAATGAATGATTCTATTTGAAATGCGATTTATTGTTTCATTATTATCTATTTATTAATTATGTTAATTAATTATGTTAATTATGCCTATTTAGTAANTTATTGTTTCATTATTATCTATTTATTAATTATGTTAATTAATTATGTTAATTAAGCCTATTTAGTAACTAATCCGTGAATAATTACTGAAAAAATAAACAATTTATTTTTTAATATTAAATATTAATGATTTAGAACTTTTTATAAAAAACGAAGAAAGTAAGTAGTTTAAGGTTATTATACTCGAAACTTATCAAACACAAGATAGTTATAATACTTTTTGTTTTTATAATATAAATTTATTTTGCAATAATAAATCAAATAATTACATTATTAATGTAAGCTAGATAAATACACTACTGCTTCTTAAAAAATGTATAAATTAACATTTATTATTTTATGAACACAATTTTATACGATGGGGGAAATATATTACGGTCCTTTAAAGATTTTTTAGAAAATGTCGATTATGGAGTTACCACTCTGAAGAAAGGACTTATCTTGTAATTCATTCTTATATTATAATCTCATATATTGGTCTTAGACCGATCCTGTTTTCTACACTAGAACGCGAGGTTAGATTAACAGGGCAGAATCACATATGCCTTGGAAAAATACTTTGAGTTGAGCCTTATCTTAAAAAAATATTGTTTCCATAAAATAATGTTGAGTGATAAAAAGGACATTTTTAATTAAAAAATACATTTGCAAGTTACTATATTTCAAATCGGCCCCGGGGCGTTGTCTCCCTTGTGCCTCTTAATCGGGGCCTGTGAGGACATTTTTTAGTAACATTACTTATAACTAATAACATCAAGATCATCAGAGAAATTACTGAGTTGTTTATTCAAACGTTTTACAGCAACGTTTTTACAATTGGTATGATTTATCAAGAAAGAATACAATGTAACACGGACATTAGTCATTTCCACGCTATTTAGAAAACCCTTTCTAAATAAATAAACACTCAATACGGTATATTGTATTATGGGTAAAAAAAGCTACAGGAAGCGTTAAACTAATGGTATTTTAAGATAAGCATCTGTTTTGAATAGTTCTCTGACGAAATCGCGACCGAATATGATTCCCATATACTGTACCAGCCGTGTGAGTGAGAATTATGGCTGTTGTCTCTGCAAGGGAAAAATTTCGTAAGTAGACTTTTTTTGCTACTTTTTCACACTTATTTATGCATGAGTTAAAAACACGTTCGTGGGAAAATTCCATTATCATCCCCACACAACATTCTATTGTGGCATAGAAGTATATTAAAAAAATTAATTAATTGTAATTTAAAAAATCAAAATATTAGACTTTATTAATATAAAATCTTAATGCATAAATAATACACTTTACTATACATCCACCGTGCGGTTATCTATACCAACTATCAAAACATTTGTTTCATTTATGCTCCATGAATAAGTATTTTAAAAATATATTTAGGAACGGGCTAGTAGGAGGGCATATCCTCAAAGGCTCAAGTTTTTTTGTTGTCTTGAGGCTATAATAGCAAAAAAGAAGTCGTTTAACTATAAGTTAATTAAGTTTGGGATATCGCATTTATAAATTTCACTAAATCCCCAAATTATTTGTCGGGCCAGATTTTTAGTAATATTTAATTTAAAAATAATCAGAAGCTGCGCTAATTATTAAATTTAAATTTAATTGCTTAAAACCTAAGATCTACAATTACCAAAAATTAATTTAACCTTAAAGTATATTTTATATGAGTAATTTAAACCAATGAATTTATTAGAGCTTGACGTTGTCATGAAAATATCACAAACAAAATAACCAACAAATAATATCACACAATTTTTGTAATTCATTCTTGTATGTTAATAATATTGTGTAACTTAATTCTATGAGCTTACTATTTTTATAATTTTTGTCCGTTTCGTTTTGTCCAAGTAGCAGTACTGCCATTTTAATATGGACATTGTGGCTGAAGTGAGTTTAATTTAACATATAAAAAACTATAAAATAATGCGAGATAAAGGAGACAGGTCGAGTTTTCAATACTTAAGAATATTCCGTTCTCAAAACGTTTTTAAAAGCTTTAATTAGTAAAGAATTTTTCAACTACTAGTATTATTAATAAGTAATATAATAATAATTAATTACAAAACATATATCAAGTTATTATTTTTTGCTATTTGTTGAGTAAAAACTAAAAATCATTGACTTGTTTAAATCATTTGGTACATTTGTATTTTTGATTATATATTATACTACTTATAAACATGTATGAATCATTCATTTATGTATTTTTTTTATAAATACTATATTTATTAGTGTTCCAAAAAAAAATTCATTTTGGTACAAAATTATTTATATTGTAAAGGTCAATACAGGACAGACATGATTTTAACCATACGTATATTTTATAATTAGATATTATTTATATTTCTATAATTTAATATTAAATCACGTTAGTTAATGAAATTAATTAAACAATACTGTTATCAATTAAGTTTGCATTGATCTGCAACTATAAATAATATAATAATTGTTAATGTTTGTTTTTTTTATTAATTAAAATACTAGGGTCATTCTTAATTCGAACATGCTTAATAAGTATAAATTTATATTTTAACTAATTAATGATGTTTTTAGTATTGTATATCTTACATTTTAACTTGGTTTTTGATTTATTAAAAAATAATTAAAACTAAGTATGTTAAATTAAGTTAAATGTTATAAGTACCATTGTACCAGATTGCCCTATTTCTCCATTGCACTTTTCTTTTTAGTGTGAAGTTTGCGTTTATTATCTAATAGCAAGTCAACTAATCCAACGATTTTCTTGATTCTTTCTTCTTTGACTAAATGTCAAGAGAAACGTATAACCTTATAATTTATGACTTTCGTAGTAGGTTCATTTAATCTATTAAATGAAAGTATATGATGTTTGTGTAACTCTATTTCTTTTAAAACACATCATGTAAGTTCTATGACAAGAAAAAATTATTAAATTAAAGTAAATTAAGAAAATAATTTTTGCATAACCCGACAGTTTTAGTTAATGCGGATATTTATGTTCGCATTTTTAATGCGTACATCAAAAATTTAAATTATCTTTATAAATTAATCAGATATAAGGACACATTATTGCTGCAGTAACAGCCACGTGTAATTAGTATTTTCGTAGCCTAATGATAGAGCAAACTAAAACAAGCTGTAGACAAATAGACGGTTACTTATAATTAACAATTAACATTTTTTTAAACTATTTATTTAATACGCGATATTATGTTGAGCATAGTATGACGTTCTCAAATAGAAAATTTATATGCAACTAAAAATTTAATTGATTTTTCATTTATAATAATAATTCTGTGATAAACAAAAAACATTTTTTTTTAAGGTGTCGAGTAAAGTTCTAAACAATAGGGACAACAAAAAAGCCGAAATTTATTTAAAAAATAGAAATATCAAAAAACTCGTGAATCATTTGACCACCAAGATTTTGGTTGAAAAACCAAATGATCCTGTCACATTTACAATTTTACAGATAGAACAACTTATCAATTTTCGCGACAACCGAGGAAAGCCACCAGTTTTATTTGATGATGAACAACTGGTGGCTATTTATAATAATACAGACATATTAAAAGCAGGATCAATTAGCATTGAACAGTATGTCAATGGTAGGTTTTATCATTAATAGATATACGGGAAGACAGTCTTCACGAAAATTGTGATAAATTAGCATAATATTGTTAATAATCAAAAACGTCTTTTAAAAATATGCATTGTTAAAAAAATTGAGAGATAAATCATTTGTTTTTTGATACGATATATTGTTTATACAGCTATGGATATGTTGGGATTGAATAACGAGGATTTTAATACTAATCCTAAATTGAATGAAAATAACTGTATCGAGAGAAAAACTTTTTTACAAGAAGTGTAAGTAAAGCAAAGATTGGTAAATATTTTTCATCCAGATAATCAATATTTACCGAAATGCTAAACCACGAATTTATTTCAAAGAAATAAAACAATTTAGCAAATGTATTTTTGATAATTTCAACGGTAATTTTTTCGATAAAATGAAAATGCGGTTAGGAATTATGATAAAAATTAATTATTTCCAATAGTTGGTAAATTTATACGTATATTTAATTTTAATGTTTGAATGTTTCAGAAGAATATTATTTATTATAAGCTTGTAGTTTTAGGACAAATTATAATTTTTGCCTTTAAAATACACGTTTATTCTATCGGTTTATTTACACCAACTCTCGACAAAATAAAATAATTATCACCGCGGTACATGACTTTGTATTATGTATATAGGTAATCTTAAATAAATAGAAACCCAGGCTAATGAACTGCATTGACTACTAGGCCACAAAACAAATAAATAATTATTGTTAATTATAATTTAACGCATTTTTTATATTTATTTTTAGAAAGCTAGCTCTGATCAAACGCACTACCTCGTTGTTGTAACAACAATCTACGGTTATGATTTAAATTCAAAGAGTCACCAGAATTGTACTTGAATTTCAGCGTTTTATGAACATGTCTTACAAAATCAATATAACTAAAAAAAAAAAGCATTACCGTTTATTTTATTATGACACTATTAGTCATCTCAGTTGATACTTAATGAAACATCGCATATATTTCATCAGTAACATTCTTTAATAGATTTGTAATTGTTATAAAATTTAATTACTTTTAGTTGTCTATTATTTAATGTTCATGGAGTGTGCAAGTTGAATGAAAAAAAAATATATATATTATAACATCATGTCAGTGTGGGAACTGTAGGGGTTGAATGACGTCTCAATATATATTTCCCATGGACGACTAGTACAGGAAATGTACAAAACACCGAACCTTTGATTCAATGGTATCGATACAAACACCGTGTCCGTTCAACAAATGAAGCCTTTGACCTACTTATCCGAAAGGCGATTAAGTCGATTTGTCACGGTGACCGAAACATTGTGTCATTATGAATAAAAAACACGCGTTATTCTCGTGTCGCACTTCAACAACAAACGCAGCGACCCATCGTAAAAGGGTTTTGTCGCAAGATGCGTTTTTACAAGCGGAACGTCATAACATACACAAATAATAAACGTCGGTTTCCTAGGAAGATTTCTATTTTAGTGCGTTTTTCTCTGTACACTAAAGACTACCCGTGTACATCACACTTGGTGGTAAATATTCCAACGACGTGTGAAAGAGTAGTGACCCGAACACACTGACGGTCGTAAAATATATTACACATAGAAAAATATCTCTACACAGTACCACACGACCATAAAATACCTGTACGGTCCCAAAGATGTTAAACGCTTCATAAAAAAAAACCCACGCACCAACTTGCAGCTACCTCGGTGCTAAAATATATCTGATACTCGGAACTGCTTGAACGTGTCATTTATGAAAACGAATAACCAAAACATCATGCCATTTAAATTAACATATACATATTAAATTAAGTCTAGACGTGATGTATGGTGTGTCGCCACTGCACATCACATTGCGGCATACCGACGACATTTCTACTTAATGAATTGCTTGTGCAACTCTCTCTGAGCATAACGGATAACTGGATTGTTCTAGTTAGTGTTTGACATTTTAATTTAACTATAATTGCCGATCGTGTATTTTTCAAGCATTATACCAACGGAAAATGTTTTGTTGCACTTCAATGTTCTCTACGGTGTACCCATCTTACTGGGTACACATTTCACTTATATGCATTATAATATATTAAAAATGACATGAACAAGACAAGAAAGTGAGTGTATCCCAATTACAACATAAACGAATGGCTCGTTTAACGAAATGTTAGTGTGATGATCTAATTTATAACTCTTACGACATGGAACTGACATTGTTTATCATTTATGAAATTTATCAAAGTAACTATTAACACATAATAGTTTGGTGTTGGACCACTTAAAATGAAGAGGTTATAACATAACATTTTATTAGGCTATTGACAGTTTTTTTTTTTTTAAAACAAATACGAGTATGCATATATTACTTTATTTATTTCACTCATGTAAAGTTATACACATAAGAGTTGGATTTTGACTGTATAACAAAAACATCAAATATGAATTTTGAACTCTAACTTCGTTTGGTAATAAAATTATTCGATGTTCTAAAAAAATAATTACAGTAAATTAGAAAAAACTTTTAATTAAGGGTTAGTGTTCAAAGCACGCCGAGTACACTCAATTTATACTGTACTGCCTTTGAAATACAGATATATTACTATTTAAAAAAAAAAAAAAAAATAGCGAAAATTTTAGGTTAGTTTAATATCATAGGCGTCCAGTAGTAAGGGAGTTAAGTTAAAAAAATGTATCAGCTCCCAAAATTAAGAAAAACAATATTTTTTTTATATAAAAATGTTCTTATCGAAAACATTTTTGCCCTACGCCTATTCCAAAGGTACTATATTATATAATGTGATTTAATTATTGGTATGTTATTATTTAAGATCATCAAATTAATAAATTAGCTTTTCTATAAAATATTATAGTAAATATTTATGAATTAGCATAGTTGAAAAACACAAGTACAACACATTATTATATTTATTCTTTAAAACTTGAATTCAATAAAATTACTGTTGATAAATAACATTGTTACCATGTAGAAGGTAAGTTGTTTTGTTATGGATGTGTCGTGTAATTTATAACCATTAAATCTTTTTTCAGTATAAATTAAAAATATAATGACTGATAATCAAAATAATTTTTGAGTTCCACTTAAATTTTCTACTTATATAAAATAAGATTAATCTAACCAGATATTTTGAGTAAATAAATATACATATGAACAGTTTAATTGAGTTATTTTAAATACATATCTTTATGCTAATACATTATATTATATATTTGTTTTAAATTCGATCTTCATTCTACTTATTTTTTGATAATTGAGAAACACTTACAACAGTCGTGCGCACTATATATTGCCTCACTCATAACTTAATCTTGACAATATTTAGAAAAAATTGTGTTATTGTTTAATAACAACCATTCGCAAAAATCTGAACAGTTTATGTTGTTTGACAAGACGGTTATTTAGACGTAAATCTGATCATGTCTGATAGTTTTACATTAAATAATTACTATTATAAAATAAGATTTCTTATAAAGGCTAAAACGTCAGTCTGGAAGAAGGACGATGTCGGTTGTGCGAACATACAGTTTTGGGTGTTTACGATAAAAATAATAAAAATATCTAAGTATATTTGAGATTAATCCACGAGGGTACGTTACGATGCCGAGAACAAACCGGTTCGGTACCGTACACTATTATTATTTTGTGCCTTCCTTGTACCAGTAACTTCCCTAATGAACCTAAGGACCATAGGGCGATCCACAGGCAACGCGCGCGTTCGGTGTTGTTGTTGGCGGGAGAGGTCAGTCCTCACTTGGCAGTCGACAGTCCGCAGTAGGCAGTCAGTTGGTCGATAACGTGTGGCGCGCAACGAGTGCCTGTGGTTGACTATTCACTCGACGCTGTCGAACTCTGTCTAATTTCATAATTTTTAATTGATATTCACTATTTCGTTACCGTCGTTCAGTGTTCTATTTTGACCGGCGATAATTATTTGAATTGATTAGCTTTGGCTTCGCTTAAAGTCGTTTGTGACGATACTGCGGAGTGCTGTGCGATCGAATATCTATTTATGTGGCTATACAAATATCGTTACAAAAGTCCGGCTAAAACATCAAAATAATGGTGCCGGCTTTTTGGTGGCGCCGCCGCCGACACGACCTGTTGATTCGGTGCGTGACAATTGCGGTGTTCGTGTTGACCACACTGGTTTCGGCTCAGGCATCTGATAGCTGTGATTGGAATGGAAGGTAAGGAAAAATTACAATTAAAACTGTAAAAGTGCGATGAGATCGGGTACAAGAGCTTTGAAAATAAATTATCTAGTTTTATTTAAATTAGTTCAATTGTTGAATGCCAAAAGACGAGAAAATTTATTCGGTTTACAAATATTTACTGTTTTCTTAAACATGCATAATGTGAAATAGAATGCGATAAGAAGATATTTGTTCTAATAAACAATAAGCCATTTGATCGTTTACTTTGTAAATGTGAGGACAAATTTGACAGGACGCAAACGAATAAACTTGACGTACGATGAGAACTTTTTGACAATTCGAACAAAACTTCATGTCTTATCTGTCCTGTAATTGGTAGACACTTGACTACTTATTTGATTTCGAGACACGATAAGGTGTTGAATTATGGATAGGAAATATTTGTAGAAATGTATTAAATAATACTCTTGATTTTATTATCTACGATTACCAGTTATCATAATATAAACATTTTTTTTTCTGTCACTTTGTTTATTTTATGCAGTAAGTGAAAAAAGTAAAAAAAAAACCAAAACAAATGTCTATGATTGTAATCGCTGTATAATGACTCAATAATAATACTTTGGATTCAGCTCAATACTACTAACGCTGGCAGTTTTTGATAATGAATGTAATGATTTCGGTTATGAGTTGAACAAGCACAGCCAGCGTGTAGTACAATATCGAAAAAATACATTTTTTTTTGTATAAACTACCGATATCTTTACAGACGAACAATGATTCGTTAATTTTTTTTTTTTAATTAAAATACTGCTCAAATTTAATAAGTTTAACGAAATCGCTTGCTGTAAATAAAAATTAACTGATATTTATTCAGTTTTGCCCATAGAATTACAAACGAATTATCAGTCACGAGACAAGTACGTTAATAATACATATTTGTTTACTATTAAACCTCGATAAACTATAAGTTCTATTGTCCGGTCTTAATTAACTTTTCCTTTTTAAGATTCGTCGAACAAATGTTTTCTCGGCTGAATCAATTGAACCGGTTTTGTTAAAGCTCCTTCGTAAAAAAAAAAGAAACAATAACGCTTTCGCAGTATGAGCCCTTGTGCGGGTACTCTTTGCCCATAGCCAACACGCGTTCCTATAATAACTATATTAAGTGTGGTACATATTAAAACAATGTGCACGACGATAAAAGGACGGACGCGGTGAAGATGACAAAAAAAGCTCAAAACGGTTGGAAGGGCAAAAGAAACCAGAATGTTGGCGGTTGGCCAAATTCGGCGGCAAAAGACTTGTCCGGCGAGCAACCTGTTTTTTTTCGCAATACTTCAGTGCGAAACTACGTTGTGCAATTTGTGACGTTCACAAGAGCGCAACGGACACGTTTACGATAAAATACAAGTTGAACAAAGTGCTCGCACGTTGTACGGCCGCGCGCGCCGTTTGTGGTTAGGCACAACAACAATAACACAAAGCATATTGTACGCAGAAAGCCTACTCATCGGTTTTGGTGGCAAATCGTACAAATGTTTGCGCACAAAACGTTTGGACGCGATTAATAATTTATGAAGTATTTCGCAGCGTTGGCTTAAATAACCGGGTCGCGTGCCGTCGTCACGGCGATTCCGTGGAAATATTTATTTCCATCGAAGATCGTAGAAGTGCGACGGCAATTAGCAGTGACTTCCTGTTGCCGTTGTTACTGTTGTCGTTCGTTTTATATTATACACGGAGGGCGTTCGGTAAACATTTCGGTCCCTCCGAGTTCCGGTCAATCAGCGCTTCATTGTCACGCCCGAACCACACGGTCCTTGGCCCGTACATTTCGTCGTTGTAGTATTGTCGGGACGCCTCATCTCGTATTGTTTCGCCCACCGGACACGGTAACGACCTGTACACGAAAGTTTTTAAAAGAATACGCCGACGGTCCATTAATTAACATGCGTACACATACACCGCATTGTGTACGAGCGTCCGTCCTGAGGGTACGCCACTATCTGTTTTCGCCGACTGCGCTACAATTTTGGGCTCCACTAGACGCGCGGTTGTCTAGACAATAACATCTGTGGGCATATCGTTACGCTGGACACGCCTCGGATCTTACGAATAGTCGATATTAACTATGCCAATATAAATGTGTGTTGCGTACGGTAGAAAACGTAACATAGTATTGTTTTACGCGTATCGTGTTACTCGCAGAGTACATTTCGGAAAAATCACCCGATACACTCCAACGACGGCAGTGAACTCGATGTGTAGATTGTTACACGTTCGTGCTGTAGGTGATGTTGTTCGGGTACAATCTTACGCTGATAAAAAAGTATAAGGATATTCGTTATTTAGTTGAGACTAGTGATTTCACTTTGTTTCTCGTAATGGTTACGTTTAATTTGTTCGGAAAATCGAACACACGATAGTGTAATTCTTTCTGATATCGAGACGTAACCGAATGATTCCCACGACAGTGCGATTTTTTCCAATCGAACAGCGTGTCCCCAGCGGCTTCGCTGCGTTCGTGACGTTCCCGTAGCCCGTTCGTAACTTTAATATCTTTGAACTGGCGAAACGTATACGTGCCGCCGCACTTTCTCCTCCTCGTGATCACCTGAAACGAGTACCGTGCGCTATTCCGTTTGGTTTTAATTAAACGTCTTGTCACGGCATCGTGTAAGAGGAATTGGATGGATAAAAAAAGAAACGGTCAGCGGGGTAGGTGGCCGCTTTTTTATTACACTATTGACGTGATAGTCGATAGTGATTGCGACTAGTACGATTGTATGGAGATAATGACGTTTAATTGGAAACACCACGCGGCTTGACTTTGATAAAAATACTATAATTATTCAAATACAAATGATATTTGGTTATTTAGATGGCCTGCGAACAATTTCAAAGTAAAGAAGATTCCGTCTTTGACGTCGCCCGTGTACAATACGTGTTCACTGTTTAGTATCAACTACGGAACAGTTATTTATTATTTTCTACTTAATCGATTAACAGATATCGAACGCAGTCCTATTAAATCTCGGGCGCGCATTTAAAGATAATAGACTTGGTGTAATTCCAGAATCTCCGTGTGAACATTAATGACCCGTTCGCCGTTGTTGCCTACGACCCAAGTGTACAATTGCAATTTAATCTCCGACACACAATTCCAATGATTCGTCGGAACGAATGATTTACCCGCGTGAGAAACTCAATTCGGTTTTCGTCGTGACTACTGTGCGTAACACGCCTATCATCTCGTAGCACACCTATTATTGCGCACAGTAGTACCTGTTTCCTACCACCGTGTGTGCAATTATACAATAAAGTCCACCTGTACGCGCAGTTTATGTTAATTTTCGGCGAAAAAAAAACAAACGTCAAATTAAACGCCGTCGAATAATTGCGACGGATGTTTGCCAACTGTTATCTCTTGCCATAACAAAAAAATCTACACTCTGGGGTCAAGACACTGACCGTCGGTGTTTAAGTCGTTAAACGAATTTTAAGATTCGATACATTTGCCTTTATTATGTCGCCGTTTCTGTTTTATGATCTCGAAACATTGACGCAGTCGCCAACCTTCCATTTCAAAGCGACTAGTTTTTTTTTGGCGAAACGCATTCACTGTCAAGACCGGCTTACGCCATTCGACACTGCAAATAAACGCACATTTATTTAAACGAAATTTCGACGTGCGTGCGTCTTATGTACACATTTTCTAATTTTTATTTACTTTGTAGCGATAAAATTCATTCGTAAAAACACATACGTTTGTTCGCGTGCAACTCGAAATAATTAGCTACCACTTGATCGCCTCGACTTAATGTGGTAATTTTCAGTCGCCACGGGTTTTTTCTCCTATGATTTTCGTCACTCGACCCGCTCCACAACGTGTAAAACGACCCCTGCAATATTGTTTCAACGTGCCCACTACTGCTGTTGGGTTCAAAGGAAAACAGGTGGTCTCGAACGCCTACTATAATAATATTATACCTAATCCGTGCCGTCTAATGCATGTGCTTTTTTGTTATGAAAATATTATTGTTTGAGTTTAAGGTACAAACAGTGATAATAAGTTTAACTACATAAATTAGGCGCTCACATCGCTCTTTAGGCATTTATTTGTCGTTCTCATGCATATTGCACACGTCACGTCATAGTGTGTAATTAACAATTTTCTAGTTCGATATTATGACTTTTAGTTTCTCTGAACTGGTAGTGATTGAAAACGGACACAATGCCGTTTGGCCATCGCGCGCAAATGTTCTCTAACGTTCAACAATAATTATTGTTTTGCCATTCCAATAGCGCGGCGTCTGCAAGAACAAATTAAAAGATACACGTGTTTTTACTGTGGAAACCCGACGGGATCGACAGCGACAATGATCCCACCCCCGTTCGATTGTTTGGCACGTTTTTGTATAATCCAAATTGTTTTCTCTTTAACCTCCCCCGGAGCGATTGTGGCGTTTTCGTGTTTGTTGCGGGAGCCGTGAGCATCACTCAAAACGTATCGATCATATTCGGTCGCCACAACAGGTCCCTCCTTACCTATCTTTACAACAACAATAATTGATCCCGTTTTGGGCCAAAATTACACGGTTCGGATCCTTTTTGGCGAATCGACTGTATTATTTTTAAAACGCAGGTATATTATTAGACGCGACTGACTTTATTACTTTACAAATAGGCAAACGCGTAGTTTTTAATGAGCTTCGGCGATTAAGAGCGTACAATAAATAAAAATAAATAAAAATGGGTGGATTTTGCCGTTTAGCCGTAAGAGGCAGTGTTGGTAAACGTTTTTGGCGCCACGAAAACGCACTTGCACGTGTGTCGCACACTCTATGGCCGCTGCGGTCGTCGTTAACTCTGCGCAAAGGGACACATGTGAAGTGGCCGCAATACACAGTGTCTAGCAATCACATGTGGCATTGTTTTATTTACGCTGTACGGGTAGGCGTGGTCGGTTTTAGGAAAGGGCACTTGAGAAAATTTGTCGCTAATTAGAGGGATTTTCGAGCTATGCGCACAACAGCACCGTTGGTCGAGGGAGTAATAAAAAATACATACACGGTAACCGGTAAATTCCTAGTCGTGTACAATCAGTCCAAATTACCACCGCAGACCGCTGCCGTACAATACATTTAGACTAATGAACTCGACAAAAGACCGTCTACACTTAATGACATCTCAGTTATGTTTCTATCTCGTTGTTCGTCTCTGCGGATCGTTATTTTCTTTTAATGGGCTTCGATCGAGGGTACTATTTTACTTGAATTATCATGATTACCACCCACTACAACATGTACACCGATGCTTCACGAGCAACGTAAAATAAGACCGTTTCGAAATCTTAAGACAAACGTGTGCACTGTCGTCTTGTACATGGCTGTATCCCCATATTAGGAGGGTTACAGTTCATTAGCATTTTTTGTCTTTATGCTGCCGAACACACTGTAGTAGCGGCCAGTCGACCGCCAAATCATTCGAAAAAATAAAACGCGCCATTGGACTTGTTAACGCGAGTCTGCTGCAGTTTTAGGGACAGAAACGCCGCTTCGTACAGACTAAATAAAGAAGAAGAAAAAAAAACTATGTGTAATCAGTTGGAAAACTAATATAATTTTTTATATTACTGGTAATCAGATACGCCGCGCCCATACAAGTGACGCATAAATTTAAAAATTAGCTCCGATGTATATGCGTGGGCAGTACAAGCAATAAGTGGAAACGTTATTTGAAAAAACATCCTAACCACACCGTGTCGGTCCTCGTGCGACCTCGTCATTGTAATACAAGTGGGATAATAAGCTGATTGATATTTTAAAATCCTTACAAGCTTAAAGGCTAAAATCATAAAATATCGCGTGTCCGCGATGAACTCTTCGAGAGACGCAATTAATGTGAATTCGTCCGAATGTCGTGGTAACAGCCTTTGTCACTTTGTAACGACAAACATTTTTTGATGCCTCGAGATGTTTTTACCGGACCAAGTCGTAATGACACTGCGGTAAAACGGTAGCACATACTTACGTGAGAAAATATTTCTACAATAATTCACTGTATAGTCCATTGTACAGAGTAATTTGTTCTTTCCCAGGGGATAGTAATTCGACTTTAAGTCATCGGTGCATAATGTGAGCCGTCTATTGTACACGGAAAGATTAACGATACGATCGCTCACCAACCGATTAAGTAGCAACTATGTCGTCGTCTATGACTCATGGACGACCTCAGAGAAGCGGCTTTCCGTCGATTCACGCGTACTCTCACGTTAATAAAGGTTTGTCACCTGAAACGGCACCGGGAAAATTCAAACTTTTCGACCGTACGGACAGACCGATCGCTGGAAGAGATACTTTATTGGACTGTGAAAAATGACGGGTATTCATATGGGTACGATAAAATCAGTACTCGAGTAATCACAACATGTTATTATTGTAAGGCGAGCGAAAATATTACACAAAACTCCAAGTTTTTATGGCTATTATAATTAAATTGGCGTCTAATGTACGTTTGTATAGAAAGTGCACTGCAAAAGAACCGATATCAACAGACGGTATTGTAATACGTGCGCCATAAAATCTTTTATTATAACACAGAAGTGGTGTACCTGTTGAAAGGAGCCCCGAAATACAAACATGTCTTTGGGGACATCTGCCAGCTGACGCTCGATCTACCGACGGAGAGACCCCTGTGTGCTGTCGAGACTACCACATGAGATAACCACCGAACCATTGTGACCCGACCGTAGAAAAAATGTACAACAAAAATATAATAACATCGAAAAACGTTGGTGTTTGTGCGTTGCGACACGGGAAATACAACCGGAGTTAAAAAAAAAAACAGTCCTGTTGTCGTCATAAATAAATCAATTTACATTGATAGGATTCTATTATAATCCGAGTGACAATTATTAATTATTATCGTACACTCTAGTCTCGCGTAGACTCTACAATCATTTATCATGTCTTATGGACGAAACGCAAAACACTCTAATGATTGTGGCATTGTATTTAGACGCCCAGTACGTCATCTCATCATCAATCGTGTACCGATTATGAATGCGTCTGCTCCAACCAATCTACCTATATGAAAAATCAGACTTTTTTAGGGATAATCGGAACTAGATGGAATACGGTGACCGACCCGCAGTCTTCTCCGGTGGTCTGGCGCGTCCATCATTTCTCATATAATTTAATAGAGTTTAGTGGCTACGCATTTTTTTCGGGGTGCCTATGGGTGCGCAGGTACGACGAAACGTCAGCTCTTGCAAATACATAACGTGAGCGACAGGTAATTATTATAGTAATATCATTGTTGTTTAATCCAAGCCGTCGGATTGACCCGAACAAAATTGCCCGATGATCTATACCGTTAAGAATATTACAATGTAATTTTTCATTTTCTACCGTCTGGTAAAAGACGTTCATAGGATCCGTCCACTCCTCTACTGCTGCTGTGAGTTCATGATCATTCCAAAATTAATCTATCACGTCATCTCAGCGACATTTGTTCCGTCTGGTAATTACTAATTAGTAAATCGTCGAGCGCGGACCGCAATAAAACTTTTATGGTTTTATTATTCTCGTTTTGATATAAAATTATGTTTATCAAATTATCGTACGCGGCTACTATTTATACGCGTTAACGTACGNTCGTACGCGGCTACAATTTATACGCGTTAACGTACGTGCAATAAAAAATTATTACACGATTAATTTCCACATGGCAATCCTCTTGCCACGAGTTTATCGTTCTTAGCTTTATTAATAAAACAAATCTTCACTCCTTTACGCATTACCTCTGCAGAGTGCTGTCGTTAAACTATAAGTTATGATACACTTTGCATCAACCGTAGTTTATACTTAAACTCGGACATTGAGATGGCCCAGCAATTTTTCTTTTTGCCCGCGGCAGCGTTCTGATAAAATTAGCATTTTGTTGGTTGCCCAGAGAAACCGAGACTCGTGCCCGTGTGTAAGATGTGCAGCCAGCGCCATCCTCTAATCGGACCTGAACTGTATAATTATATTCCTAATAGGTCGTAAGATATCTTTAGTATGTAGATCATTGAAATGATTAACAATATCATCAAACTGTTTTTATATCCGAATAATTTTCTCCTACGTTAACGTTTGAATATTCATCATAATAAAAATTAAAAACTAAACACACTAAATCGTGGAAAAATCACTTATGATAAATATACTTAATACATTCGAAAAACCGGTTTTTTCTTCCAAGATTTTCATCGAACAGTGTTCCGTTTGAAAGCGGAAATAAAAATCGAAAGATGAATAAAAGTTGACAAATAACCAACAAAATAATAATAATCGCATCTATATACTAACGTGTCTTTATTTTTTTTTTCAGTGGTCTTTCTGATTCTTCTGAATACTCAGTGCGACCCGTACGATTGGATCGATGTTGGGCCGGCAAAGTACGTTGGTCGTACCCAAGAGGAGCTTTAAGGATCGTGTTCCGGTTGACTGGCAACAGCGGAGGTCGCGAGTTCCGCGTTTGCCTTAAACCCGACAGGTTAGACGGAGTGCGCGTGTTACTTGATAGCGCACCACGGCGTTTGCTTGCCGTCTACGACCACCGGACGCCGAAAAGGCCACAGCGATCGCAGTGCTTCAAGAGTGTCGGTGGAACAGCGGCGTTTTATGTGGAAGCTGACAAATCTGGACAGCAGCCCTCCAGCAAAGCAGTCCAGTTCCGATATGATCTCGAACCACTCAGTTCACCAGTACCCGAACTTTTCACGGCCGATGACCTCGACGATGGTACGTTAATGAATTATTCAACTCGTAAATTATTTTCTTAGAAAGTAACGACAGGGGAAATAGATTACACGTTTGTGTAATCTATTTCAACATCCATAAAATACATTAAAAGAAAATACATAAAAATAAATATGTTTTTCCAGATGACCTTTAGAAATAATAGTCCACTTGTCGGCATTTATATATTTTTTAACCGCCATATGAACAGAGAGCTTGAATTATGAAAAAATATATGAATCATTTGTCCGGTCACATTTTATGTGATTTATTTGCACCGCGTATATTTCATGTATATGTATATATGATAAGATATGCCCTGTTAGATGCATATTAACGATAACTAGAGTGACCTTTTGGAAAACATCCAACTCAAACCAGTTCTTCAATGCGAATAGTTGTGCAAGGCGTTTACTTTGTACTTGTATAATCAAACGAAAACAGACATTGTATTTTATAACTTAACTTAGAATCAAAGGACTTTTCCGTATTAATGATTTTGTAATTCTTCGTGCTTAGGACTGAATCATAATTACTATTGTTTATTTGAGTATTTCAATTCATAATTTTATATCTATTTATTAATTTACTTTTGTTATGAGAAAATAAATTTTAAAGAGCTAAAAAAAATGACCGATACTTTCCTTTTGTTTATAACATTAAGGAATGAATAAATGAACTAATTTGTTTATAAACTACTATATGGTTGCAAAAAAATATTGAAATACTTTAATAAATATCGAGACGAAAATGAAACGATACTATTGTTCACAGAAAGTGGCTTATTGAGCATTTCTGACAAATAAACAATACCGAAACTGTACAAATGTTATGAACAACAATTCATGTCATTTTATTGGTTGAAATTTATGCTTATTTAATTATTAGCAATTAGGTCATCGCTGTTAATTTTAGCATTATACGACGAAATTCATTCAATTTACCTATACAATTCAATGGACGATTTTTTTTCGTTATTTTTTGTAAATAAAATGTACACATGTCCGTTTTTATGTAAATAGCATAAAAAAATGAACTGCGATTTTAACTACGCAAAAAATGAATTTTAAAAAATTTAAATTTTAAATTTTAAAATGTAGCCCTTACTGTTATTTTGTTGTTTCTTAAATTATTTCCCGTTAAATAATTACAATGATTACAATTTTGGTCAATACAGGTACTATTTTGTTAGCCAGAAACCTGTTTGTTCTTGACAAAGTGCCTGTGTAACGTTGTAACTCAAATGTCACTCAGAGTGAATGAGAAAATATGAAAAACAACTTTTGTAGTCATAAAAAAACTGCTCATGTATTATTTTTGAATTACTTTACATAATTAATTTACCTACCTTACAAGTATTCTATTAAAAACTCTTTATCCAAAAAATATTTTAAACGTTTAAACGAACACATATATTTTCAAGTATCATTGCTAGTATCAGATGTGACTTGTTCATATTGTATATACAAAAATAAAATATATCTATGTGACATAAGATATGTTGACTTATTAACAGAAAAAAAGTCTTATGAAACAAATAGTTTTGAAAAAATTGAATGATAAAAACTTTTTGACCAAGAAGGATCTCTCTTTATTTGGCCCAGTCACAAAGTTTTCTTACAATTCGATTAATGATAAAAGCAATTTATAACTAAAAATATGTTTAAAATATTAATTTAAATTGAAAAATATTAAAAATCCAAAAAACATTAAGCAAATTTCGAAAAAATAGTTGTTCTATATTACTAGTTAATTTTACTAATAATAATAAGATTTAGTTACTGGTGCTAGTTTTACTTACACTGAATATCACAGAAGTTTAGAACTTGCAATTTACAAGTGTTTGCGAGGCAAAAAAACTTTTCAAAGACAAAAATTATTCCGTGTACGTTATTGTGCAAGTGTTAGGTTGTATTGTAATTACAATAAACATGTCGACTGGCGTCTGCCGATTTAGCCTACGCACTCTAATCACTGTAATACCCAAAAGTCGTTTTCGACGCAGTTGTTTTATTAAAATTAGGCCATAAATTCATTTTTCGAAGCAATAAAAAATTATACTTCCATTTTACATGACGTTTCTCGAAGACCGGTTCTTGTCCACATTAGCTTTTAAGTACACATCACTACACTTATGTTTTCTTCTTTTTTTACGACAGTTATTACAATATTTTATTTATTGTAATCGCCGCATTGTATACATTTAAGAGCAGAGGCCATCGAATCTTATACCGCACGTGGTGACTTTAACAATGATTTTCATTTTTTTAAATTACTTAAACACTGGCTCGTGGAATACAATAAAGTAAAAAACAAAATTGCCGTACTCCGAGACTAGGTTCTTCAGAAATTCATATTGAACGTACACTAAAACCTCTTTTATTAGACAACCAGGACTAGGGTAAAAATGTCGTTTAGAGGTTCATCGTCTAATTATAATTTAAGTGCAAATGAAAATGTTCACTCACTTGTAGTGCTGTAATCATTTAAGCGCGTTGTTTTTAATATAACAAAATACACTATTCGTGCCGTCTAATACGATTTTGATTATACATTGTTTGTTTTTTATTTCATTACAGAATGTCGTCCTTGCACAGTAGAAGAAATGACACAAGCTTACTGCACGAGTAGTCTAGGTAAGTCTCGCCGTTCTGACGGTGGCTTTTAATTTGGTATGGTTTCCGCTTTAATATCTAACATTAATATCATAAAAATACCTTTTCTAAGACATTCAAGAGACTTTCGACGCACCTGTATACAATAAATAAACATATTTTACCCATACTGCAAGAAATTCCTGCAAAACTTATACTTGGGTAGAATACTTATAGTAAAACTATAAATTATTTAATATTTTATTTATCAAATAAATTATTCAGGTTAGGAAAAACAAAGTTAANCTTTCGACGCACCTGTATACAATAAATAAACATATTTTATCCATACTGCAAGAAATTCCTACAAAACTTATACTTGGGTAGAATACTTATACTAAATCTATAAATTTTTTAAATAAATTATTCAGGTTAGGAAAAACAAAGTTAATGCCCAACAATTGAAAATACTCACGTTTCGTTTTGAAAAATTCTTTTTTTTTTTTTTAAATTTCTAATGATATTCTAAACTACAAAAACACCGAATTCGTGCACTTGAAAAAATAATTCTTACATTAAAATTATGGTGTGTAGTATAAATATTCATCGGCCAAAATGGTCGGTCACTGAAGACAATAAAAACTGCATGATATTGATTAATATTTTTTTTAGATTAAGATTTTAAAAATGTACGTCCAGGGTATTGTGGTCAAATACGGTAATTTGCATACTTACAACTACATTATAGTATATTTTTCCTGATACGCGTATAAAAATAAAATACTCGGGGCACATTTTAATATTCCGTAAGCGCATGTAATAGGAGTAGTTACCAGCACCGAGAGCATTTTCGTACCAATTTTTTTACCTCTCAGTATCAGTCATTACTCACACGTGAAACGCGCATTGTCGTGTGGTTTTTTATGTTTCTGTATAGCTCCGGGCCTTTCATAAAATTACGGATCTATTTTAAATATTACTTACATGGTTTTATATTATGGCATTACAATATGTGTGTATTGTGCGTTCATTGTATTATAGACCGCGACCTGCATCATTAAAACACAATGCAGTAATACACGTACATAAAAAAGTCAGCGCGTGTTTACGTACAATACATACCTAGAAAGATCCGCTGCCTGGATTTTTTCCATTCGCTTCAATTGAAACCAAAGTCATTATGAGAAACAATGGGTTGAAAATAGAGGACGAGCAGAGCGCGTTGTCGTCCCGATAAAAAATCTAGTGCAAATAATTTTACGCTGTTCACGTTGCTCGAGATATGGGAAATTAATTTTGCTCTTTTGTTTGATTGCAGTCGTTCAAGGCACCATTGTGGGCGTATCGTACGATGGTGACGTGTCGCGGGTGAAGGTGCGGCCGACCAAGGCACACCGGCTGCCGCCCGAAGAAGACGACCGCGCCATCGAAGAGATCGGTGACGGTGCCGAACAGCCCGTGACCATTACGTTCGGACGGGGCTGCAGGCCCGCCGTCGGACCGGGTGAGTTCGTGTTTATGGCCAGAACGAAATTCGACGAACTGGCCTTGAGGTGCGCTCCTCGACTGGAAGAATGGCGACAGGCGGCAAGAGCCGACAAGTCGCCCGGATGCATTCTGGCCGATTAGCCGAAACTACGAGTTATGTTTTTTATAATACGTAAGGTTACCAAAACAACCGCTGTTGAATCGTGTTGGTGTTTTTGTGTGTTATGTAAACGATTTAGTATATTTAACTTATTTCAATGTATACTTACACTCTTTAAGTCATTTATTTTTTTCGAAATTAATCTTGGAGGAGGAGAAAATGCGGTACGTTCTATGAACTGTTATAAGTTTATTTTTCAATTGTTAGCCCATTTAACCAACTCGATTTGTTGTACAACAGTTTTACTAAATAACGTTACCGATTGATGTGTTTTGAATTTCATTTAGTTGGTAACAAAATTATCGTCAAGAGGGACGCATTACTTTTGGGGACTTAAACGAACGGTCTCGTGTTTCGTACGTCTTTTGTGTTACTTAAAAATAACAACGAAAAAGTGTCCGGACAATCGTGTTAAATATAAATTATTGAGTTTTTTTTTTTGTTTCTAAAGACACGACTGCTAGATTAGATCATTTTACTCAATTATTCAATACCAAAATTTTACCTTTTTTTATTCTTATCTGTTTTTCTCATTTCTAACATCGTAACAATGTCGTTCAAGCACCAAAAAAGGTATTTTCTCCTCCTTGACTTACTCTTAAAAACACTTAAATACGTGTATTTTCTTGTGAATCAATGTGCCAAACGTTTAAAGCAAATAAAATTTATTTTACAACGAATCTAACACATAGATGAACATTGTGTAGTATTCTGTGTATTACACATCCCTTTTATTATTGTTAAAACCTCTGAATAAATACTTTTCCATGTGTCGCCCCTTAACGCCGTGTTTCGTGCAATGTTAAAATATTTCTTTTCTTTGTTATAACTTTTACTCCAATTATTATTCTTATATTTTTGTTATGTTTTTTTTTTTTTTGTAGTATGTATACATTTTTTTTTGTAAAAATCGTTTTATACATAATGATCTCAGTTTATTATTTATGGAAAAATCATGAATGTATATAGTTATTATCTGATAAAATAATATAAATTATATATTGTATGCATTGAAAATATAACTATGTTATCAATTCAAAAACAATAGACGGTGTACGTATTTTTCTCATTTCGCTTATTTTAGCTCGACCACTTTTTATTGCAGTGAAGCTGTGCATCGCAATACATTATAAATAACCGTATGTTACTCTCCGGGGTCGATAATTTCATAGTGACAATGGCCCTAAACGCCAAGTCAAAAAAAAAACTAAAGAAGACCGGCCGTAAATCAGAAGACCTTGTACGAGTATAATAATGTTATGCTAGTCGAGGTATGCCAAGCTCATTAAGGTCCGATTTTATTTAGAACACGCGCCGATCTCGCGCGAGCCAAGACGTCCTCTAATTAGCAGACCCGCGTCTTATGCCTGGCAAGTTCCAACGCATTCCAACGGACCGACTCGTTTGTCCACCGCCGCCACTGTCTAGAGCCTTCCGAAAACGGACCCGTGTCATTGTGCCTACTCTTGCTCGTCTTTCGACCGTGTGTTTTTTTATGTCTTTACCGCTCCTCATTAGCCGGTAACTCCTGTACGTGCACACGTATTACTCTGTTTACTTTTGACTACCGTCGTGATCACTTTAGTAGGACCAACGAAAAATGTCTTCATCTCTATAGTTTTCGCATTTTAACGTATTTAAATGAGATACAAAATCTCTGTATAAATTAAACATCACGATATAAAAAAAAGATGCCTACTCATTTTTCATGGTGTAAAAAACACGTAGAACTTATTTCTCATGAACAATTACAGGTTTTAAACTTTGTTAAAAAACCATGGTCAGTTGTGATTAACGTTACTTAATTATAATAAAATGTAAATAATGTATAAAGTACATCGATATAAAATTAAAACATTTGTGATAAGATCAATGGCGCCCGGATGATAAAATTCTAGTAGGAAAAATTTATTTTCTCGTATGTAATCGGGTGCGTCCAATTAATCGTATTGTGTTGTTTGTAAAAGTAAAAAAATGTTACTCAATATATCATACCGCATTATTCGTTAACAATTTAATTTTTATAATTGAGTTACTTAATTAATTAATATTAAACGTACCGAACGTTAAAAGTATAGATATCTCCAAATGATTAAAATGGTAAAAGTTTCATTAAAAACTATTTTGTTAAAATTTTCGTTTTTTAAAAGACATGTACGATATTCATGACAAGAAAAAAATAAAATATATGTGTGTCGTTAAGAAATTGAATTGTTATTCCAAGTTATAATCATGTTTATATATTTGTGTTAAAAAACGTTTGAATATTGTGTTATGTGACACGCTAACGATCACACGGCCCATACGATTTATTAAACTGAGACATAAAAATTATGCAGCCGTATTCTTTACTCGGTCGTTTTTTTAATAGTAAAATACATTATATAGCTAATTATGTTTCAAAAAAAACTAGCCGCTTGTATAGAAACGCGTATAAAACAACACCATAAAGGAAAATATTATTCATTTTTGTATTAAATATGCCGTTTTATTTATTACAAAAATAATCATCAAGACTAAGACTACATGTTAAGTATCATATGATTACAGTAAATACTTGTATTAGAAATTATACATTCTGCAAATTGTAAAATTATTCAAAAAATAATAATAATAATAATTTCAAAAACATTTAATATGTCAAGTGGAACATAAGATCTCTTGTTTAAGTATCACACATATTTTCTTACTCGAAATTTACAAGTGTCGTTTAGTTGTTTGAATTTGTCGGTTATTTTATTTATTTGACACGTTGATTCGTTAGATAAAAGAGTTTCGGAAAAGTCATGAAAATCATATTTGGCAACATAAATAACAAGAAGTGAATGCATTTTTTGTGAATAGTGTACACGCTGTGGTGTCATATGATTCGTACGGATTATGTTATTTGTTATTAATCGGTATGCCCTACGACAGATTGTAGTACATCATAGCGATGTACGTGGTGGTTACGTTGACTTTTAGCCATCGCCATTGTTTCTGAGTACCTACTTGTACGACTACTACTAAAAGATTATGATAATGGTCGAGGGATCGTAATGGATTTTCGGGAAGAACAAGAAAACACTCGAGATCGAGACAGAGAAAATAACACCATGACTGCGAGGTGTGGTCAGGTCGTGGAATTATTAACTACTTAAGGTTCGACAGTGGAGATCACTAATGGAAGGTGTGTTCGACGGGGTCCAAAAGACAGCAAATAACCACGTGACGACTCATCATCGATCGACGTTGTTTGTTTCGGACACCTCCAACATGAATAGAACACGGCGAAGACTTACGACGTATTCGTCCGAGTTTATCAAATGGCCATTTATTTTTTGATCTTTCGTGATTTACCAACCGCAGTGGACGACTGCAATAACCAAAGAAAATCAATTGCCAAATGTTACTTAAATGTCAGTTAAATTCGTCGGTATTTTACCACGAATTATTATAGAGAAATAAAAAACACTCTCGGCCGTAATTACAGGACAAGGGAATTGGGCGTAAGATCCCTTTTGACGTGTAAAATTATGGGGTGAACATATTTTTTTATTTGGAAAGGGTAATAGCCATTTTTCTCGGGTGTGTATATCACTCCCCTGCCCAAATCCATGTTGCACCGATAAAAATAATATTAAAACGTTACTATTGAAGATATCCAAGAATTAGTATTTTTACATTAGGTTTGAGTTCTTGTGCATGTTAAAAAAATGTACATTGTCAACGATAGTTGCGAAAGGGATTAAGTAAATTTTATCAAATATTTAGCACAATTCTCTTAAAGTTAAAAAAATATGTTTTTTATTTTATTATTACTAATAATTGTTCATTTTTATTAAAACTAAAAATTATGCAATTTGTACATTTATTATTGCGTCAAGAAAAAGTATTATTATTATTTTCTAAATCAAATAATATAAATTCGAATACCATCTGAAAAAAGTATTTTCTATTAATTACCAAAGATATAACAAGATACATTTTTTGATTACATGAATTACAAATGTTTTTTAAACCTTCAAATAAATTCATTCGCCAATTAAAAGCACATTCTACATTAGTATTGTTAGAATGTAAATTATTTGTTTTATTTTCATTTTAAACAACGATGCCCTCTAAAGAAAATATTTTTGTAACACTTTTTTACCTCAAATTTCCATACAATGTTTACTCTCAGTTAAAATAAAGTTAGGGGTAGCCCATTAACATTGTGAAGAATTACCAATTTCGCGTTACCCAAACGCACATTGTGTATTACACAATATTTTCATGCTACAAATTTTTCATTACTATTCTCTCCCAATTATATTGGTTCGGTTTAAATTATAGCTAATCAGATGACGATCAATAGAAAAAAATCAATTTATGTATTTGATAGTGTAAGTAGCTTACAATGTACTTACTTGTTGTTGTACCAGACGGTTCGAGAAGTATCTCAGTGACTACACATTTTCATAGCTTAGAAAAACGAATGAGTCGACATTTTACAAAACGATTGTATTGTAAAACTATAATGTGAGTATGTTATTTTCGACGAGGTGTATTAAAACGCGCGTTCGATGCATTTGAAAATCATCAGACCAATAATAATTTAACAATCAAACATATGGAATACGGATCAGCTAGATCACCAAACGGTATCAAAACAAATCTAAATGGTTCAACTATACGACACTACTTTATGATGTGATATTCTCTACCGTATAATATTAAAAGTGGTTATATGTACACGCATATTTTACATTTATATGCACTGTAAATATATGGAAATGATTTGAATGCAATGATTTTTTGTATCAACCAGAATCGGAACTGTATTGGCTTGTACAGTTTAAAACTAATACAATTATGAGTGTTTTAAATCAAAATCTTACAACAATAACTTTAGGGTGTTGCATTGTGTTCGCCGAGCAAAAATTTGTATCTAATTACTACAACTATGGTTAAAATTCCGAGTTTAATTTATTATAAATAATGTTTGCTCAATAACAATAAAACGCAACAAGGTGAAGCGTTAAACTTATCACGTCAGACGGTTATATGTATGTAATCGAGATTTTTAATTACAACAGTTTCGTCAATGAACGTGGGGGCCTTCACTTTTATGTTGTTGACGTCAAATCGATTTTTAAATTAAATTTCGTTACAGTTCTCTCTCGGCAAGCATTTGCATAAGTGATCGGCCCATTTATCTTTCGGCCAAACGGGTATTAATATGTGACCACGTGTCGGATCCCGAAGGCGTTGGACTTTATCGAGCGACCGCAATACTATTAGTTACTCGTCATGACCATTTTTACCGTCGAAATGTGTCGTTCGGTTAGATCCGAATAGCTGTCGTTTAAAAAACTACGGGAGCCGCTTGCATTTTACAAACGATACGGATCGACACGTCTTGTGGTGTTCTATATGTACATATGTAATGGTGTACTGTAAGTGGAAGTGCACAATGGTTATTTACTACGGTGCAACATCTCGCATGTGCTCAAGATACAACCGGCCAAGTGTGTATAAATTCAAGGCGTGCGCACTTTGGTGTACACATAAAGAGAATCCAACGCATATCGCGTGTGTTACATTTGATTTATCGGTTACCATTATTCGCACTTCTATTTATGCGGCCAAAGAACACACCGTTGGCTACTAAACGCTAACAAGGGCCCAGGTGTCAGAACCAGTTCCGCACTTTCCGGATATGGATCGTCAATGACAGCGCGCTGTCGCCGTTAACAACACTTCCATGGACTATGTGGACAAGCGATGGTATTGTTCGTGTGTCATCGCTGTGTCGAGAGACAAAAGTGACGAACAAAGTTATGAGCGCACTTAGATTGATCGACACGGGAAAAAATGTTAATGAGAATTAGAAACCAGTCCAAGAACTCGGTGGAATCGTATGTTAGAAAATGTCAAAAGCATTTGTGATTATATTCCGAGCAAAGTTATTTTCTATTCAACACTTTGCGAGGAACTTTATACATAAAGTTAACAAATACAATAAAGCGGTCTTCACCTGAATGTTTTTAATACA